GTGGTCTCCGAGTTCCCAGAACTCCATTCCTGGGCATGATTTTGGATGCCCGGAGCCAGCTGTAGGCCACTTCGTGCTCTTCGAGTTCCCAGAACTCCATTCCTGGGCATGATTTTGAATGCCCCGAGCCAACTGTAGGCCATTTCGTGGTCTTCGAGTTCCCAAAACTTCACTCCGGGGCATGATTTTTGATACCCGGGGCCAACTGTAGGCCACTTCGTGTTCTTCGAGTTCCCAGAACTGCACTCCCGGGCCACATTTTTAATGCTGAGGCAGGCTGATGCTGAGGCTGAGGCAGGCTGAGGCTGAGGCAGGCTGAGGCAGACTGAGGCTGAAGCAGGCTGAGGCTGAGGCTGAGGCAGGCTGAGGCTGAGGCAGGCTGATGCTGAGGCAGGCTGAGGCTGAGGCTGAGGCTGATGCAGGCTGAGGCTGCGGCACGCTGAGGATGAGGCCGGGGCTGAAGGCAGACTGAGGCTGAGGCTGAGGCAGGCTCAGGCTGAGGCTGAGGCTGAGGCAGGCTGAGGCTGAGGCTGAGTCAGGCTGATGCCGAGGCAGGCTGAGGCTGAGGCTGAGGCTGATGCAGGCTGAGGCTGAGGCAGGTTGAGGCTGAGGCCGGGGCTGAAGGCAGACTGAGGCTGAGGCTGAAGCAGGCTGAGGCTGAGGCTGAGGCGGGCTGAGGCTGAGGCTCAGGCAGGCTGAGGCTGATGCAGGCTGAGGCTGAGGCTGAGGCTGATGCAGGCTGAGGCTGAGGCAGGCTGAGGCTGAGGCCGAGGCTGAAGGCAGACTGAGGCTGAGGCTGAAGCAGGCTGAGGCTGAGGCAGAGGCAGGCTGAGGCTGAGGCTGAGGCAGGCTGATGCTGAGGCAGGCTGAGGCTGAGGCTGAGGCTGATGCAGGCTGAGGCTGAGGCAGGCTGAGGCTGAGGCCGAGGCTGAAGGCAGACTGAGGCTGAGGCTGAAGCAGGCTGAGGCTGAGGCTGAGGCAGGCTGAGGCTGAGGCTGAGGCAGGCTGAGCTGAGGCAGGCTGAGGCTGAGGCTGAGGCTGAGCAGGCTGAGGCTGAGGCAGGCTGAGGCTGAAGGCAGACTGAGGCTGAGGCTGAGGCTGAGGCAGGCTGAGGCTGAGGCTGAGGCAGGCTGATGCTGAGGCAGGCTGAGGCTGAGGCTGAGGCTGATGCAGGCTGAGGCTGAGGCTGAGGCTGAGGCCGAGGCTGAAGGCAGACTGAGGCTGAGGCTGAGCAGGCTGAGGCTGAGGCTGAGGCAGGCTGAGGCTGAGGCTGAGGCAGGCTGATGCTGAGGCAGGCTGAGGCTGAGGCTGATGCAGGCTGAGGCTGAGGCAGGCTGAGGCCGAGGCTGAAGGCAGACTGAGGCTGAGGCTGAAGCAGGCTGAGGCTGAGGCTGAGGCAGGCTGAGGCTGAGGCTGAGGCAGGCTGATGCTGAGGCAGGCTGAGGCTGAGGCTGAGGCTGATGCAGGCTGAGCTGAGGCAGCTGAGGCTGAGGCCGAGGCTGAAGGCAGACTGAGGCTGAGGCTGAAGCAGGCTGAGGCTGAGGCTGAGGCAGGCTGAGGCTGAGGCTGAGGCTGATGCTGAGGCAGGCTGAGGCTGAGGCTGAGGCTGATGCAGGGTGAGGCTGAGGCAGGCTGAGGCTGAGGCCGAGGCTGAAGGCAGACTGAGGCTGAGGCCGAAGGCAGGGCTGAGGCTGAGGCAGGCTGAGGCTGAGGCAGGCTGCGGCTGAGGCTGAGGCAGGCTGAGGTTGAGGCTGTGACTGCGACTGCCGTTGCCACTGCGACTGCCATCGCGAATGCGACTACGACTGCGAGAACAGCAGAATTCTACAACAGGATTCTCATCTGAATCTTAAGGGGAATGCTTCCAGATATGCTCCTACACATCGCTGTTAGGTTGCTTTGCCGGGATCATGTTATTTTGCCCCCCCCCCAGGCGCGAGCATTAACGGGGAGGCGAGGAGGACCTCTTCCTGCCCCACGTAATCACGAACCAAAGGCAGCGAGGTTCGCAAATCGAGCACCTCACCACGCGGCCAACTCAGCTCAAGGCGAGGTAGGTAAACCAAAAAACAAATCGCTTCGGAAAAAAAACGAAAGCAGGGCAAAGGAACAAACATGATATTCGAAGGGGGGGCGTTCGACCCTGGAACCCATACATCGACCCTCGATCGCCCATTCGTCGCTGGCAGGGGTCTGGTAGCTCCACAACACGCAGGAACGTCTAGATTTGCTCTCGGGGGCCTATCGCCGATTTATCGGCGATGTATCGCCCATTCAAGCTCGACGTTTCCCTCTGAGTTGGTCCCCGTCCTAACGACGACGGCGAGGAGGAGGAGGAGGAGGCCGCAGACAGCGGCCACCGCGACCACGACGATGAGGACGCCAGCGGCGACGTCGAGGGCCGAAGTGGACGACAGCGGCGACCACGGCGACGGAGAGGACGGCGACGGTCAGTACGAGGACGAGGATCCGTGCCTTGCCCCTGGGGGGCGCCCGCCAGGAAATTCGGTGTTCCGCCGCATGCTCGGCGATGGGTCTGGCGGCCCGCTGCCCTTCGGCCGGACCATGTTGGCGGGGGGCCTCGCGGGGGCCTGCGAGGCCGTGGTGATCACTCCGTTGGAGGACGGCCCTCGCACGTGGAAGGGCCAGCCACGCGCAGAGGGGGGTGGGGGGAGGGGGGAGGGCTTCTTAGAAGCACCCCTGGCTCTTAGAAGGCGCGGGCCTTCTCTATAGATGTAAGGCCGGCCTTCTAAGAAGCAGCCTCCTTCTAAGAAGCCCTCCCCCTCCCTCCACCCCCTTGTGCGCGCCGCCAAAAAAAGGGGAGAGGGGGCCGAAGAGGTGGGCCTCCCGCCTGCGCGTCCGCCCTCGTCAGCTTGCTTCTCGTGCCTTTTCCCCCTCTCCGCTGCCGCGCAGCACAGACCTGCCAGGAACCGTCGGTGGACCAACGGGCAGCGACGGGCGTTGCTGTGGTGCAGAAGCACCGTCCGCCATGTATCGATAGCTCGACTCGGGGGAGGGAATGGGGCGGTAGGAAGGTGCAGGAGGGAGGGGAGGGAAAGGGCAGGGGAAACGAAGGGCAGGTGGAGCAAAATGATGAGGGAATGGGGAGAGGCGGAGGAGGAGGAGGAGGAGGAGGAGGAGGAACAGGATGAGAAAGAGGAGGAGGAGGGGGAGGAGGAGGGGGAGGAGGAGGAGGAGGAGGAGGAGGAGGAGGAGGAGGAGGAGGAGGAGGACTCCATATTTTCCTCCTTGTCCTCCCGTTTATATCCCTACTCGTTGTCATTCTGCTCCCATCGCTGCCCTTGCTGTCCTTCACGCTGTCATCCTCGTCATCCACCGCCTTGTCGCAGCCATCATTCATCCGAGCCAACGGCGAAATCGGTGCTTCCCAGTCTTGTCCGACCAGGTTTTCCCAGAAGGCGCGCCTGAGGACAGACATCAATAGATGCCAGCAAGGCAGCATCTCGCCTGAGAGCGACTGAGACACTCTGCGTTCCCGAGGTTGTGAAGATCGCGATGCAGAGCGAGAGGGCCACCAAGGTCCCGGTTTGTTTTTGAGCGCCGCGAGAATGGGAGAGGAGGCGAGGGAATCAATAAAACGCAGCACATGGGTTAAGGCGCGTGGATCAGCGACGGGCCCCGTTTCCATACAGAATCAGCGCGCACCGTCGGCGCATCAGGTTGCACGGGCTTCATGTTTGTGTGGTGCTCTCCCCAATCCGTGTTAGCATGTGGCCGAGGGAGGGACAGTCGGTACGCTCGAAATGCTTACATAATGAATGTGTTCGAGGCCGACAGCAGTTCTTCCCACTTTGAGCAGGGTTCCCTGTCGAAATGGCTGCAGTTGTCCACTTGAGTCATAGGGTCGCCTGGTCGACAGCGGTCGCTGTCCACTTTGGACAACATGTGCTGTTGAGCATCGTGCCCATTCTTTCCGTACCCACTTCTGGGCGTCCAAAGCCAGTGCATGGCCAGGGCGGTGGAAGCTCCTCGAGCGGGGCTTGGGCTGCAGTGGTGGTGGCGGCCGTCCTGCGGGCGCACCGCTGGCCGCACAGCCCGAGGGCGCAGGGCAGAGGCGGATCGGCTAGTGCGAACCCAGAGATCCGAGGCTCCGAAGCAATTCCAGCGGCCGGTTTGGGGAGGAGGAGGAGGAGGAATGAGGAGGAGGAGGAGGAGGAGGAGGAGGAGGAGGAGGAGGAGGAGGAGGAGGAGGAGGAAGGAGGAAGGAGGAGGAGGAGGAGGAGGAGGAGGAGGAGAAGCAGGAAGAGGAGGAGGGAGGAGGAGGAGGAGGAGGACGAGGTAATGGGCTGCACACCCTGCTTCTGCCTCCGCCGCCCCTCTGGGGGCCCGCCACGGGCCCCGGGACTGTCGAAGAAAGGATTTCACAACGAGAAACCGGTCCTCGAGGGAACGGTGGCGAGCGAGGGGGGAGGGTGAGAAGGAGCAGGCCTTCTCAGAAGGCGTCGGGACGTCTCAGAAGCCCTGGCGCCTTCTGAGGAGTTTTCTGTGTCTTCGTGGAAGACTTGGAGAGCTTCTCAGAAGGCTGGAGTCCGGCCAGAGGACTTCCGAGCCTTCTGAGATGGCCTCCTCCTTCTCACTTCCCCCCTTCGCTCGCCGTCCAAATGCAATTGTCAAGACCTCTGGGGGTCCACGCATCGAAGAAATCGAAGTGCCGGATGTTTGGGGGAACCCGCCTCCTCCCCAGCTTCGGCTCCTCACACCCGCCGATTTGATTTTTTCGACCTGCGGCCCCAGAAGTCCCGATCCCTTCCGTGGGGGTATAGGGGGGCGAGGCCGCAGGAGCCGAGCGCGCGTGACGCCACGATGGCCACAAGTGGCCCTAGTGGCCTACAAGTAGGCTAAGTTTGCTTACCAGAGGCCCAACGCCGGCAGGTTCGCGGCGACCCCGCCGCCGGCGTTCAACGTTGAACGCCGCCAGCTACCCAGAATCGGTCGATTTTGAAAGATCTTAGTTACGTTCCGGAAACGGCCGATCGTTCCATGTTGAACGATTCCTGCGGTGTCAGGAACCACCGCAGGAGTCGACACGATTGATGGCGTGGCCCAATGTCTCGGGTCCTCTGGCGTGGGGGGGTCAGGTGGGGACAGCTGGGGTAGCTGGGGGCGGTCAGGTTCGCTCCCGCCTCGATCTGAGGGGGACAACGGAGGAGTAAAAGGTACCGATGCTGCTGCTCGTCCTGGAGAGTCCTCGTCTCCACGGCTGGATTCTCATCGGAATGCTGGTCAGAACGCGTCCCCGAAGAGGTCCCGGGAGCAGCTGTAACGTTATCGGTCTCCGGGCGAGGGCAGGGGAGAAAGGCGAGGGAGGCCCAGAGATCTGGGCGATGCCATTTTTTCACGCCGGGCGCTGTCGCTTGGCTTCCGGTCGGGGCGCAAGGGACGGCGAATCTTGATGGATTCTGCAGAGCATTGACCAGGGCTTGGGTGCAGGGTTCTGCAGGGCCTTGACTGACCCGTATTTGGATTGGCCGTGGGTCAGTATAGCAGGCCCAGGGGCCCAGTGAGCTTCGCCCCCCCCTGGGCGCAAGAGCTGGCCGGGGCTGCAGCGTGGGCTGGCCTTGGGCGGGGCGCGTGGGCGCTCTGAGCAGCACCTCCTCCGTGCGCGGGGAGATCCTCCCCCGGCTCCACCTGGGCACCGTTGTCTTATCACCTGGCGAGAACGGGCGCCACCGGCGGATGGGTACTCCAGATTTCGTAATAAAAGGGAGGGGGTCTCAACCCTCCCAGACGAGAAGTTTTAGACCCCCCCGTGGGAGAACCCTCCAAAACATCGTCCCCAGACCCCCCAGGCCCTCCAAGATAGCCTGGAAGAGACCCCCCCCCGAAATGAGACCCCCCTCCCTTTATTACGAAATCTGGAGTGGGGGAGGATCGGTGCGTCATATCCGACCCCGAACCAAACCTCAGGGTGGGTGTCGGAGGTCGCTGCGGCGATCGCGGCGGCCACACATCGCGGCACTGCTTCTTGTCCAGAAGCGGCATGCCCTTTCCCCGCCCCCCGCGCCCCGCTCTGCGATTCGGACGTGGCTCATCATGACACTCGAGCGACAGAGAGGCGTCAGCTTGTGTCCAACATACAGAGTCTTGGTTTTTGGTCAGGGACCGATCGTCACGAACCAGGGAAAGGTGCTGGTCACGTCACGATTCGCGTCGGCGCCGTCTGGGAATGCCAACGGATGGTTACTTCCCAGACAGCGCCGGCACAAAGCTTGACTTGACAAGGGGGCGGGGAGGGCGGGGCTGGTCACTGGCACTCAGACTGCGAAAAGACAGAAATGGTCTCCTGGTGCTCCCGCTCCTCTCTCACCTCCCCCTCCTCTCCTGCCCCCCTTATTCGTCCTCCTCGCGTGCGACACTTCACTCCGACAAGCTCTCCTTGCATTCGTCGCGATCCACTTCCTGATCCTTCGCAAAATGCTGGCGCGCCAGGTCGGTCAACTAGCCTGGCCAACGTTCTATGCCTTGTCCTCTCGACGCCGAGACGGAGCTTGTTTCCGGCGCGATCCTCGGTAATCGAGCGATGCAGTTGATCGAGCGACATCCCCAGGGGGGGCGGGCCTCGTCTCGTGTTTCGTCCCACGTAGACTATGGAGGCGATCCGAAAGTGCCTCATGCTCGGCTATCCTGGGGGGGGGAGCAGTGCCACGGATCTCTGGGATCTCTAGCGAAGGACTTCTTGGGCGCGCCGTGCCATCCAAGATCGATCATTAGCAGCATGTTGAAGTGGCAGTCGGTGTGGGAGGTGGAAGTGCGGCCGAGGCTGCCAAAATCAGACATTCGCACACGTGTGCATGCGTATTTCCTTTCCTGGCGGCATATCATGTTGTACCGCGTGTGCGTGAGGCTGCCTGCCTCAGCCAGGCCGCATCGAAACGAATCGGCCCCGAGGGGCAGAAGGCCACCGGACTCGTCGACATCGTCAGCTCCATCGCCAGGGGCGGCATTGGCAGATTGTACAGTGGCCTGGGGGCGACCGTGGGGAAGGAGACTGTTTCTGCCGGGCGGGGCAGGGGTTCACCAGATGCTTGGCGGACTGACGTTCCAGGTTTGTTGAAAGGGGCTCCTTAGTCGCGGATGGCCGAAGGCGGACGTTAGACTCTCCACTTTCGCATCCCCATCCACATCAATTTCCTCGTCTCCTTTCTCGTCTTCATCCCCCTTTCTCTCCTCATCCTCCTCTCCGTCCTAGTCTTCGTCCTCCTCCTCCTCGTCCTCGTCCTCCCCTTCTCCTTCGTCGCCGTCCTCCTCCTCCGATCCGCCTCGCCCCGCTTCCTTCTACCGCTCCTCCTCCTCCTCGTCCTTCCTCCTTTACCCTGCGCCCTGACCAAAAATCCCTCGCGGGTGAGCCGTAGAATTCCCGCGGTCGGGCAACGGCGGGACAGCCAGCGGGCAGCCTTTTTCGCCTTATATCGGCAGCTGATCACAAAGTGTCAACCTCCAGGCCAGGCGACCTCGTGGCCCATACGAGGCGTTATCGTTGTTATCGTTATCGTTGTTATCGGTGTTATCGTGTTATCGTTATCGTTGTTATCGTTGTGATCGTTGTGATCGTTGTTATCGTTGTGATCGTTGTGATCGTTGTTATCGTTGTGATCGTTGGTATTGTTATCGTTGTTATCGTTGTTATCGTTGTTATCATTGTTATCGTTATCGTTATCGTGGCCCATACGAGGCGTCCAGGCCGGCCATCGTTCCCCGCTGAGTGTTGTCAGGCAGGCCATCGGTAACAGTTGATGAAGTCACATGTTTTTTTTTCCGACGGTGCGTGCGTTCCCGCTCCGCTTCCTCCTCGTCCTCTTCGCACCGGATGCAGAAGGCATGGGCGAAGTTTGGCGCATTCAAGCAGGAATTGAAAGACAAAGCCATACCGATCAGTCTCAGAATGAAGATGTGGCGCTGCGTAGTAACCCCAACAGCGCCGTCAGGACAGCTGGTGCGGCTGAGCCGTGGGTGGATTGGGTGCAACGCGCCACAGCCGAAGCACGGCAAATCATGAACGACACCAGCATACGGTAGGTTTGCGTCGTGTCGACCAGCGGCGACCACAGCGCGGGCGTTCAAGGTTGAACGCCGCCGGCGACCCAGAATCGATCGATGTTGAACGATCGGACGTTGCGCCAGCAGCCGATCGTTCAAGGTTGAACGATCCCTGCGGTGTCAAAAACCAACGCTGGGGTCGGCACGACACGAACCTGCCGTACCATATTGGATAGACGAGAGGCGTTCGAGATTGCGAAGTTTCAGTGAGAAGCTGAAGCATATGGATTTCGACCTTCGACCTGGAGTGTCCACGAATGGTCACCAGACGGGCGCAGAGCCCGAGGCCTCCCTCCGATGCGACGGGCAGACCAGGATCCGCTGAGCCCTTAGGGCACGCAGCCGCGAGCGCGCCCGGCTCGCACTCGGCGTCCCTTCCCTTCCCTTCCTCTCCTTCCCGCTCTCTCTAGGGATGCAACTTCTGGTAGGTTGGGATCGGCGCTGGTGTAATGTCCGTGGCCGGAATCCAGCCAACGGTGGTAGTACAACCCCGCGGTCCCTTCCTCTCCTTCCCGCTCTCTCTAGGGATGCAACTTCTGGTAGGTCGGGATCGGCGCTGGTGTAATGTCCGTGGTCGGAATCCAGCCAACGGTGGCAGTAAAACCCCGCGGACTGAGTTCGCCCGGTCCGCGCAACTCGGACCAACCTGGCCCAGCTGCCTCGCTGTCGGGGGCAATCGATTGTCATACTGTCTGCGAGAGCCCCCAGGATCAGTTTCCTGGCAGCACGAGTCTTCGGAAGCAGCCCCCTCCCCGTGTGCGAGCACAGGAGCGGGGTCCGCGGCCGCATTCTTCCGAAGCTCCGGAGCCCGGCCTGGGCTAACCGCCGCCCGCGGGAGCTCCCCTTCCTCCAGCGGCGAGCGGGGGGGGGGAAGTGAGCAGGGAAGGCTGGGAAGCCCCTGGGCCTCCGGAGGAGTTGTCTACGCCTTCCCCGAAGACACGGGACACCTCTGAAAAGGCGCGAGGGTTTCTAAGAATGCCCGCCGCCTTCTGAGAGGGTTTGCTCCGTTTCATGTTCCGCCCTCGCACGCCGCCGATTCCTCCTCTTGGAAGTTTGCCGGCAGCGGCCTCCAGCCACGGACAACCCCGCGGCTTTTTTTTCGTCGGATTTTGGGTCTCCTTCGGATGGCTACGCGGATCGGAGTGTCGTAGCCCTCTGCTGCCCTGGCCGTGGGCCTGCTGCTGGCCTCGCCCTTCCCAGTCTGCCGGCCGTGGGCGCTCCGGGCGCGCTGCTCGGGCGCTCCGGTCCGCCTCGCAGTTTTCACACGCCCTGGTTGGGGGACGAGCCCCCCCGACCGCCACGGAACTCGGGGCTGGACAGAACCCCCAACAGTGACACGTCGATTAGTGAATTGTCCGTTTTCGGTTCTCGAGAGGGCGCCGCGGCCGTTATTTTCCAGGCTTGCGCCCGCCAGGTTTGGGCCCGAGGTCGTTTTCACTAAACCACGTTTTGCTAAAGGGGGTTCTGTCCATCGCCACGAAACAGCAAACCGCATGATCCAGCGGCATTTGGGAGCAAACAAAACAGCACTTCGCGCACTTTTTCTGTACAGGCGCAAGCGAGCGCCCCGTGGCGATACGCAAGGAGGAGAGGAGGAGAGCGGGGAGGAGGGTGTCGGCGGGGGAGAGGGGGGGGAGGTGATACCGCCGGCAGCCCAAGCCCCGGGCTGCGCCGCATCAGCCTGGCCCGGCGGCCCCTGCCGCGCTTCCAGCCTCCTGCGCAGTGCCGCGCGCCGGTCGCACGCGCCGCCGCGCAGCACTTCGCGCACTCCACGGCGTACTTCGCCGTTTTCGAGGAGCTGCGGCCGTACGGCCCGGGCAGGGCCGCCCCGAAGGCGAGGCAGATTGGTTTCGACCTCTCCGCGGGGTTCCCCGCGGCGAGGGCAGAGGGGCATGCCCGGGGGCTCGCGCGGACGCTTCCTTCGAGGAGGAGGAGGAGGAGGAGGAGGACCAGTGTAAACCCAAGAGTCATCAAAGCTGTTGGAATGAACCTTCCCTCCAAGCTCCCTTTTCATAGGCCCCCACAACGGTTGCATAGTTGTTGCACCCGCATAATCCTGAATCCTTCCAAAACGTTATTTTCGGTACGGTGATCATGGATGTCCGTGAAACTTTTGCAAATGTTTAAATCGAATGTGCGCGGCGCTAAGGCGAGGGCCAGCTTTTGAAATGGAGCCGCCCTCAATCCGTGAAACCCTCACAATTCTAAAAACGAATGTGCGTGGCGCTACGGCGAGAGCCACATTTTGAAAAGGAACCGCCCTCAATCCATGAAGCTCTTGAGCATGTTTAAATCGAATGTGCGCGGCGCTAAGGCGAGAGCCACATTTTGAAAAAGACGCCCTGAATCCACGAAAGTCTTGCATGATTCAAAAACGAATGTACGCGGCGCTGGGGCGAGAGCCACATTTTGAAAACCACCAGCCCTCAATCCGGGAAGCTCTTGCAATTGTTTTTAAACGAATTTGCGCGGCGCTAAGGCGAGAGCCACATTTTGAAAACCACCCGCCTTCAATCCGTGGAGTTCTTGCAAATGTTGAAAACGAATGTGCGCGGCGCTGAGGCGAGAGCCACATTTTGAAAACAACCCGTCCTCCATCCGTGAAAATGGCGTCAGTTTTTTTAGCGTCAGAATCATAAATGGTGAGGAAGTCTCGGGCGACACGCCCGGCCCGCCCTAAAAACTGGCTCGGGGTGCGACAGGGAGGAGCAATCTATGAAGAGAAGGAAAGGAGGACGGCTCCTTCGAGGAGGAGAAGGAGGAAGAGGAGGAGGGGGCACACGGAGGAGGAGGGCGCCTCCTTCGAGGAGGAGGAGTAATAGGAGGAGGAGGAGGAGGATGAGGAGGAGGAGGAGGAGAACGGGGAGGAGGAGGAGGAAGAGGACAAAGAGGAGGAGGACCATTGTAATCCCAAGAGTCAGCAACGATCTTGGAATGAACCTTCCCTCCAAGGTCCCTCTTCGCAGGTCCCTGCTACGGTTCATTTCCATTGAGCGAACGGCCCCGTTGGAAGATAGCCGTTTGAAGATCCTGAAGCGTGCCAAAACATTGCTCTCGGGATTTCAACGCCACGTATCAAGCTGACTGCTGCGTCTTGACGATCGGGATTCGTGCCAGAACGCCATCTGTGGGATTTCAATACCGCGAATCAACATAACTGTTGCGCCCGCATGGTCCTGCATCCTTCCAAAACACAACGTTTAGTGCGTTGATCATGGGATTCCGTGAACCCCTTGCAAGTTGTTAAGACGAAAGTGCGCGGCGTGAAGGCGAGGGCCAGTTTTTGAAAAAGAACCGCCCTCAATCCGCGAAGTTCTTGCAAATTTTGAAAACGAATGTGCGCGGCGCTACTGCGAGAATCACATTTTGAAAAGGAACCGCCCTCACTCCGTGAAGCTCTTGCAACTTGTTAAAACGAATGTGCGTGGCGCTGAGGCGAGAGCCACATTTTGAACAGGAGCCGCCTTCATTTCGAGAAACTCCTTCTAACTTTGAAAACGAATGTGCGCGGCGCTAAGGCGAGAGCCACATTTTGAAAGCCACCTGCCCTCAATCCGGGAAGCTCTTGCAAATTTTGAAAACGAATGTGCGCGGCGCTAAGGCGAGAACCACATTTTGAAAACCACCTGTCCTCAACCCGCGAAAGTATTGCAAATGTTTGAAGCGAATGCTCGCGGTGCTAACGCGAGAATCACAGTTTGAAAGCGACCCGCCCTCCATTTGTGAAATTGTTACCACGTTTTGAGCCCTAGGGTCATAAACGGTGAGGAACTATCAGGCGAAACGCTCGGCCCGCCCTAACAAATGGCCCCAGGGTGCGACAGGGAGAAATTAACGATAAGGATAATGAATGGAGGAGGAGGAGAGGGAGGAGGAGGAGGAGAAGGAGGAGGAGGAGGAGGAGGACGAGTTAGCAGCGGAGAGCGAGTGAGCAGTGCTGATGGTCGGAGCTATCCTGGTGGAGTTTTTGTTGAACACAGGGGCCCATTGTGCGATTACGTTTTTCGCGGTGGCCGATGTCCACAAGTTGCAGATAGTGGCCGCCCAGCTATTGCGTGGCTGGGAGGTGTTAGGTCGGGCAGCGGAGAGAAAATCTGCAGGATCGAGCTGGAACAGCCGTGGCGATTCGGGAGGCTCGCGCGGACGCTTCCTTTGGTGAGGAGAAGGGGGAGGAGGAGGAGGGGAGGAGGAGGAGGAGGAGGAGGAGGAGGAGGAGGAGGAGGAGGAGGAGGAGGAGGAGGAGGAGGAGGAGAGGGAGCAGGATCGGAGCCCCTCGCTGCTCCCTGGGTCGTTGCGAACCGCGCAACTGTCGTCACTTCCGTTGCCTACTGGGACTGGGAGGCACGGCGGAGTCGCGGAGTACGCGGATGCAGACAGGACCTCGCAGATTCTTGGAACTTTGCGAAGTGCGCAATTGGCGCCACTTTCGTTGGTTCCTGGGAGGCACGACGGAGTAGCGGGGTACGCAGATCCAGACGGGACCTCGCTGCTCCCTCGGGGTCTTCGCATTGCGCAAATGTCGCCCGTGTCGCGGGGTCTTCGGAAGCACGGCGGAGTCGATGGGGGTACGCGCACCCAGGCGAGACCTCCCAGCTCCCTGGGTGGTTGCGAATTGCGCAACCGTAGCCACTTTTGTGGGTTCCCGGGAGGTCCAGCGGAGTCGGGGGCAACGCGGATCCAGCCGAGACCTCCCGGCTTTTCGGGAGGTGGCGAACTGCACAATTGTCGCCATTGTCGCAGGCTCGTGGGAGGCACGGCGGAGATGAGGGCTGCGCAAATCGTGCACATTTGGCGATGTGTTTTTTTTTGTACGGAACGTTCATGCAAGGATTCGCCTCGCGTGGAAAAGTAGTCCATTGTATTTCAAATGTTGTCGGGAACCCTGGTCTTGAAATCCTCACGACAAGGTTCTGGATGGGTCTCGGCATGCGCGCGCGACGCCGCGCGCGTGCGGATTTTGGTACAGCTGTGACAAGGGATTCGGAAGATGGGTGATACTTGGTAAACGAGTATGAGCGCACAGTATCGTTCGTCAGGGACGGAAAGGGGGTACCATAAGAGGTTCGGTTAGGACGATATGAGTTCATATTTGAAATGAGCGGCGGGGTACATTCCCAGGTAAGGGTCAAGCGGGGGGTCGATCCGATTGTTTTGTTGAAGGGATAATGTTTAATGATGCGATTCAGTCTTGTTCGCAGTGAGTTGTCAACCCCACTGCTTGCGCAACCATCCCAACCACCCACCCGCAACTCGGTTGGCAAAGCCCATGCGCTGGAGATTGCGATGAGTGCTTGGTGTTGGCTGGTGCATCTTTGCGGCCGCGCTAGCCCGCGCATGGTGGCGCGCGCATCTGTCAGCTTGTTCGGCGCGACCACCGCGGCCGCAGTGACGCTAATCGTTGTGCACATTCCAGCGGGCATTTCACTGCGAGTCGGCAATTTGGGCGGGCGCGGTATCATGGCAACGTCGACAACAGCAGGCACGATGATGATAGTAGCGGTGCTGGCAACGATGATGACAGCGGTGACGGCACGACCAGTGACGGCGCCGATGTTGATCACGCCAACGACGATGACGGCGTCCTCGCGTCGGTGATAAAAAAAAGGTTTAGGACGGAGTTCGACATGCGCGAGCGGCCGGCGCGCGAAAATGGCCCGCATGGTGTCATTTGACGCGGGTCGTGCCCCCCCCCCCGCCCCCCCCAGCACGCGCGCAAGGGCTGTCGAATGATTCCGACATGCGGCGCAATGTTGAACAATCTATGATTTTCAAGAGAACTCGCAAGAGCGGGGCCGCAGGATTCTTTGACAACTCGTGTTGCGAAGCCATGTGTGTTTCACATGGTTTCGGGCATTCGTTTTTTTAACGCCCTGCGACACCTGCGGTTTTTGATTGACTTCGGCATACGTGCGCGACGACTCGCGCGCACGCACTTCGTCCCGTCTGTTGCAGGGGGGTTTTGCGACAGCACGCGCGCAAGGGCGTTCGAACGAATTCGACATGCGCGCGCGCGAAGCCCATTTGGTTGCATTGTATGGGAATGTTGAAAACCGCCTGCTTTCTTTAGAATTCGCAAGAGCGCGGGCGCATTTGTTTTGACAATCCGTGGTGCGAATTCATACGTTTCCATTGGTTGTCGGGAAACTCGTTTTTGAAATTATTGCGGTTTTCTCGCTTGTTGAAGCATGCCAGCATGCGCGCGCGACGAGGCGCTTTGCGAAAACGGTTGATTGTTGTCAAAGCATGCGCGCGCCTGGTATGTTTTTGACGGGGATGAAAGGGGTCGATACCAGGATCTCCTGGGATGTTACGAGTTCATATTCGACCATGAACGATGGAGCATAACCATGTGTACATTGCAATATGGAAAGAAGTGGCCCGTTAACCCTGGGCGGGGTAGATCCCAATTCCTTTTCGTAGAATAGGAGAACTTGTTGTGCGTGTATCAGAGTGAGGAGGCCGAGCGGTCATCCACTGTCCTTTGGTGCGTGGCTGACGTGATTCCGCTCCGCGGATTATCGCTGTTGTTGCGCTTCGTTGTTCCATTGTTGCTGTCGTCGCTCCCGCGACCCATTTCCTCCCACCTTCGTTCTCGTACCAAATGCGCCATTATTTTACCTCTTGTCTCCGCTGTGTAGTCCCAGTCTTTCTCATCACCCTGCTTGTGCTGACCATCCTCCTCTGATTCCTCCTCCCCGTTTCCTCCCTTTCTCGCTTCCTCCCCGTGTTCGTCCCCCTCCTCCTCCTCCTCCTCCTCCTCCTCCTCCTCCTCCTCCTCTTCGCTTCCTATTTCTTTCCTTCGTGATTAACGCTTCCTCCTCTTCCTCTTCCTGCTCCTTCTCTTCCGATATTGCAGCTCTGTAGATTGGAGGGCCAGGGCGGCAGTGGCATCGGTGAGGGCGCGACTGCCTTGGTGAAGCCCCTCCCCAAGGTTTGCGGCGGGGGTTGCAGCTGGGACCGTGAACAACCCGTTCGACGTAGTGAAAACCAGGCACCAGGTTGGCGCTGCGTCCGGGACCGCAGGGAGGAGACAAGTGCAACGGTGGAGGAGCGACGAAGAGCGATGGCAAGAGGCGGAGTGCTGCGAGGTGGGAGGGGAGCGGTCCCCCCCCACCCCACCCTCCACACACACCTATTCATTCACACGCGCAGACACACAATTTCGAGTGTTAGCAGCCAGAAGCAGCCCCATGGCGTCCAGAGAAGTCGCGTACGCGTGCGCGCCGGAAGAAGAGTGAAGTGGCCAGCCCCTCACGGGGAGGCGAGCCTGATATGGAAGATCGTGGACCGTTCTTTTGCACTCGCGCTGCGAGGGGGGTAGCGTAGCTCAAATGACCCAGGGCCCCGTGAGCCAAACACGCACAGATACAAGTTCACGACACTGCGAAGTGCCCGCCCACGGACGCGCCAATTCAAAGTTGCGTTGGCGGGGAGGCGCGCGGGGGGCGCCGGCGCCTGTTTCTGTGGGGTGGGGGGTCTTTGAAAAACCATACGAGGAGGGTCCCGGGAGGGTGGGGGCGTCAGTAGGGTGGGGGCGCGCGGTGGGAGCGCCGGCGCGTGTTTTTGTAGGGTGGGGGGCTCCAGGAGGGGGGGGGGTCAGACGTGGCGGGGGGCGCGGGGGGAGTGCCGGCGCGTGTTTTTGTAGGGTGGGGGTCCCAGGAGGGGGGGGAGGTCAGACGTGGCAGGGGGGCGCGGTGGGAGTGCCGGCGCCTGTTTTTGTAGGGTGGGGGGTCCCAGGAGGGGGGGGGGGTGTCAGACGTGGCGGGGGGGCGCGGTGGGAGTGCCTGCGCCTGTTTTTGTAGGTTGGGGGTTCGTTGAAAAAGCACACACAGAGGGTTCCAGGAGGGTGGGGGTGTCAGGCATGGCGGGGGAGCGCGGTGGGAGGGCCAGCGCTTGCTTTTGTAGGGTGGGGGGTCTGTGAAAAAACACGCAAAGAGGGTCCAGGAGGGTGGGGGTGTCAGACGTCGTGGGGGGGGGGCGCGGTGAGGGTGCCGGCGCCTGTTTTTGTAGATCGGGGGTCCCTGAAAAAGCATACAAGGAGGGTTCAGGAGGCTGGGTGTGTTAGACGTCGTGGGGGAGCGCGGTAGGAGTGCGGGCGCTTGATTTTGTAGGGTCAGGGTTCCCTGAAAAATTTCACGAAGAGGGTCCAGGAGTGTGGGGGGTGTCAGACATGGTGTGTGGGGGGGGGCGCGGTGGGGGTGCTGGTGCCTGTTTTTGTAGGGTGGGGGGTCCCGGAAAAAGCGCGCAAAGAGGGTCCAGGAGGGTGGGGGTGTTAGACGTGGTGAGGGGGCGCGGTGGAGGTGCCTGCCCCTGTTTCTGTGAGGTGAGGGGTCGCTGATTATGCACGCAAAGAGGGTCCAGGAGGGAGGGGTGTCAGACGCAGTGGGGGGGGCGCGGTGGGGGCGCTGGCGCCTGTTTCTGTAGGGTCGTGGGGTCCCTGAAAAACCATACAAAGATGGTCCAGGAGGTTGGGGGTGTCAGCATGGTGGGGGGGCGCGTGGAGGGAGTGCCGGCGCTTGTTCTTGTAGGGTGGGGGTCCCGGAGTGCCGGCGTCTGCTTTTGTAGGTTGGGTTGGGGGGTTTTTGAAGAAGCGCACAAAGAGGGTCCCAGGAGGGTGGGGGTGTCAGACGTGGTGGGGGGGCGCGGCGGGGGGTGCTGGCGCCTGTTTTTGTAGGGTGAGGGGTCGCTGAAGAAGCACACAACGAGAGTTCAGGAGGGTGGGGATGTCAGTCGTGATGGGAGAGCGCGGTGAGGGCGTTGGCGCCTGTTTTTGTAGGGTGCGGGGTCCCAGAAAAAGTACACAAAGAGGGTCCAGGAGTGTGGGTGTGTCAGACGCGGTGGGGGAGCGCGGCGGGGGTGTTGGCGCCTGTTTTTGTAGGGTGCGGGGGTCTTTGAAAAAGCACACAAAGAAAGTCCAGGGAGGTGGGGGTGTCACACGTGGTGGGAGGGCGCGGTGGGTGTGTCGGCGCTTCTTATTGTAAGGTGTGGCGCGGATGTCAGACGTGATGCGGGGGCGCGGGGGGAGTGCTGGCGCATGTTTTTGTAGGTGGGGGGTCCCTGAAAAAAACCACACAAAGAGGGTCCACGAGGGTGGGGGTGTCAGACGTGGTGGGGGGGGCGGCGGGGGGTGCCGGCGCAAGTTTTTGTAGGATGGGGGGTCCCTGAAAAAGCACACAAAGAGGGTTCAGGAGGGTGGGGATGTCAGACGTGGTGGAAGGGCGCGGTGGGAATGCCGGCGCCTGTTTTTGCAGGGTCAGGGGTCCCTGAAAAAGCTCACGAGGAGTGTCCAGGAGCGTGGGGGTTTCGTGGGGGCTCACTGACAAAGCACACAAAGAGGGTCCAGGAGGGTGGGGGTGTCAGACGTGGTGGGGGGGCGCGATGGGGGTGCTGGCGCCTGTTCTTGTATGGTCTTGGGGTCTCTGAATAAGCACACACAGAGGGTCCAGGCGGGTGGGAGTGTCAGACGTGGCGGGGGGGCGCGGTGGGAGTGCGGGCGTTTGTTTTTGTAGGGTGGGGGATCTTTGAAAAAGCACATACAGAGGGTCCAGGAGGGTGGGGGTGTCAGAGGTGGTGGGAGAGCGCGGTGAGGGTGCTGGCGCCTGTTTTTGTAGATCGGGTGTCCTCGAAAAAGCATTGAAAGAGGGTCCAGGAAGGTGGGGTTGTCACACGTGGTCGGGGGGCGCGGTGTGGGTTCTGCGCTTGTTTTTGGAAAGAGTGGGGGGTGAGTCCACGAGGGTTCAGACGTGGTGTGGGGGGGCGCGTTGGGGGGGCCGGCGTTTGTTTTTGTAGGGTGGGGGGTCCCGGAAAAAACGCACAAAGAGGGTGGGGGTGTTAGACGTGGTGGGGGGGCGCGGTGGGGAAGCACACAAAGAAGGTCCAAGAAGGTGGGGGTGTCACACGTGGTGGGAGGGCGCGGTGGGTGTGTCGGCGCTTGTTATTTCAAGGTGGGGCGGGGGTGTCAGACGTGATGCGGGGGCGCGGTGGGGGTGCTGGCGCATGTTTTTGTAGGGTGGGAGGTCCTTGAAAATACCACATGAAGAGGGTCCAGGAGGGTGGGGGTGTCAGACGTGGTGGGGGGGGCAGCGGGTGTGCCGGCGCCAGTTTTTGTAATTAGGGTGGGGGGTCTTTGAAAAAGCACACAAAGAGGGTCCAGGAGGGTGGGGATGTCAGTCGTGGTGGCAGAGCGCGTTGGGAATGCCAGCGCCTGTTTTTGTAGGGTCAGGGGTCCCTGAAAAAGCTCACGAAGAAGGTCCAGCAGGGTGGGGGTGTCGTGGGGGCTCACTGACAAAGCACACAAAGAGGGTCCAGGAGGGTGGGGGTGTCAGACGTGGTGGGGGGGCGCGGTGGGGGGGCCGGCGCCTGTTTTTGTAGGGTGGGGGGGTCTTTGAATAAGCACACACAGAGGGTCCAGGCGGGTGGGAGTGTCAGACGTGGCGGGGGGGGCGCGGTGGGAGTGCGGGCGCTTGTTTTTGTAGGGTGGGGGACCTTTGAAAAAGCATACACAGAGGGTCCAGGAGGGTGGGGGTGTCAGACGTTGTGGGGGAGCGCGGTGGGAGGGCCGGCGATTTGTAGGGTGGGGGGCCCCTGACAAAAAACGCAAAGAGGGTCCAGGAGGGTGGGGGTGTCAGACGTGGTGCCGGCGCCTGTTTTTGCAGGGTCCCTGAGAAAGCATTCAAAGAGGGTCCAGGAAGGTGGGGGTGTCAGACGTGGTGGGGGGGGGGGGGCCTTGGCGCGTGTTTCTGTAGGGTGGGGGGTCACGGAAAAACTTTACAAAGAGGTTCCAGAACGGTGTGGGTGTAAGCATGGTGGGGGCGCGCGGCGGGGGTGCCGGCGCTGGGTTTCTAGGGTGGGGGGTCTCAGGAGGGTGGGGGGTCCAGGAGGGGGGGTCCCAGGAGGGAGGGGGTGTCAGACGTGGTGGGGGGGGGCGCGGTGGGGGTGCCGGCGCCTACTTATGTAGGGGGGGTGTCCCTGAGAAAGCACGCAAAAAAGGTCCAGGAGGATGGGGATGTCAGACGTGGTGGGGCCGCGCGGCGGGATAGCCGGCGCCTGTTTTTGTAGGGTGGGGGGTCCTTCAGAAAGCACACAAAATTGGTCCAGGAGGGTGGGGGTGTTAGACGTGGTGCGGGGGCTCGGTGTAAAGCACACAAAGAGGGTCAAGGAGGGTGGGGGTGTCAGACGTGGTGGGGGGGCGCGGTGGAGGTGCGGGCGCCTGCGTTTGTAGGGTCAACGGTCCTTGAAAAAGCTCCCAAAGAGGGTCCAGGAGGGTGAGGGTGTCGGACGTGGTGGGGGGGGTGGGGGTTGCGCGGTGGGAGTGCGGGCGTTTATATATATATATATATATATATATATATAGGGTGGTCGATGAAAAAACAAAAAAAACAAAAAAAAAGTCCAGGAAGGTGGGGGTGTCACGCGTGGTGGGAGGGCGTGGTGGGGGTGTCGGCGCTTTTTTTTGCAGGGTGGAGTGGGGGTGTCAGACGTGGTGGGGGGGCGCGGTGATGGTGCCGGCGCATGTTTTGGCAGGGTCAGGAGGGTGGGGATGTCACATTTGGAACTGGAAAGTGTCGTGTGGGGGGTCCCGAGAACAGAGCTCTGGTGACGTGGAGACGCCAGAGCGTGGTGGGGACGCGGTAGGGGGCGTTGGTCAGTTCCGGGCGAGAAATTATCGTATGGGGGGTCCCAAGAGCAGAGCTCTCGTGGGGTGGGGATGCCGGGGCGTGGTGGGGGCGCGGCGGGGGGCGTCGGTGAGTTTCCGGCCAGAAATTGCGGTGTGGATGTGGGGGGCGTTGGTCGTTCTGGGCGAGAAATTGTCGCGTGGGGGGGCCCAAGAACAAAGCTCTCGTGGGGCGGGGCTGCCGGGGCGTAGTGGGGGCGCGGTGGGGCGCGTTGGTCGGTTGGGAAGTCACGTGGGGCGTCCCAGCAACAGAGCTCTCGTGGGGTGGGGATGCCGGGGCGTGGTGGGGGCGCGGTGGGGGGCGTTGGTCGGTTGGGAAATGAGAAATTGTCACGTGGGGGATCCCAAGAACTTTGCTCTCGTGGGGTGGGGATGCCGGGGCGTGGTGGGGGCGCGGTGGGGGTCGTCGGTGAGTTTCCGGTCAGAAATCGTTTTCTTGTGGGAGGTCCGAAGAGCTGAATTTTCGTGGGGCGTGGGGGATCTCAAGAACTTTGCTCTCGTGGGGTGGGAGTGCGGGGACATGGTGGGGGCGTGGTGAGGGCCAGTTGCCCGCAGGCGAACGCTTGCAGAGGTCAAGAAGCGAGGGGGCTAGAAGTCCGACCGCTCCGTCGCTCGGTGCGAGAAGGGAGCTCGTCTCAGCGCGACATGGACGGAGCACCCGCCGTGGCTCCGGTCACGCGCGGTAGAGTGCGAGGAGAAATTCGTGGAGATCTTGGTGCGCGGCCGTGTGCTGCCAAAACCCGCTGTGCATTTGCAATCGATGAACGACGGCTGTTCGTGCTCGTGATAGGATGCTGCTTCAGCATGCCATCTCAAGTTGTCAAGTGCGGTTTCTTTGTCAGATTCATTGACAACGAACATGTCTCATATTTGCTTGCGTTCTGGCTTCGCTATGGTATGAGGCTCGGAAAGATAGGAACTGTCACGGCTTCAGTCTGCAATGGCACTCTGTCCACGGGTTCAGTGCACGTGAAGTCAGAGGCGGCCAGATTAGGGCTGCCATCAGTGATCAACTCTTCTAGTTGCGACAGTGCACGTGTGGCAGCGCGATTTCCGACCATGCAGTATATGCAGCAGGTTCCGCACATGTGTAGGTACCGTGGCGCATCTAGACTCAGCGTCAGTTCTCTGGCCTGTAATAGATTTGTCTGCCGACGCCAACCGCCTCGGGCTTCGGCGCCCTGGCGTTAGACCCAGAGACGGCCATAGGAAACATATCTCCCGCCCGCGCCTGTGTGAATTTGTGCCCCATCGTTTCCAGGAGGCCGTAGTTTTCACCCTTTCAAGCCCGCTTCGGGCTCGATGCCTGTCGGTGTGAACAGCTTCTGTTTTGAGAATATGCTTTGGTTGTGGTTTCAGCGAGACGCGGTCAGGTTGTCCGCCTCGCGCCCTCGGATCCGAGTCGCTTTGACCAGCGAGCTCAGTAGAGAAAGCAGTTCCCCGCTAAAAACCAAGGGTCGGTCATGGGGGTGCGTGCGCAATAATGACTTCACAGTGTTTGGGTTGTCGGTCTCATCGATGCACATTGTTGTTGCTCCGCGGTCATCCAGGCTCCCCTCCCTTTCGAGCCGCCTCGGCTCGCCCGCCCTTTTTCTTTTCTTCGCCCGGGTGTGGGTTCAGCGAGAGGCTGTCAGGATGTCCGCCTCCCGCCCTCGGATCCGAGTCGTTTTGACCAACGAGCTCAGTAGAAAAAGAGAGAGAGAGAGCAGTTCCCCGCTAAAAACCAAGGGTAAGTCATCATCGTTGCCGCCGATGTCGGCATTATCAGGGTAGCGCGCCAGCACCGGTCACCGACCCGTTCTGAAGTGCCCGCGCGCCAGCGCGGCCTTGGAGACGCGTATGGGAGCTGCCAAATGCAAGCGCCACCGTGGCCGCATCAGCTGCGCCAAACCAGCTGGCCGCTCTGCGCGCACGCTTTCGCGCGCCAGCGCAGCCGCAGGGATGCGCCAGCCAGCGCTGTGCAACGTAGTCACTGCAATCGGTGCCGCATGGGTTGTGCAAAACAAGTTGCGGGAAGGATGGTGTGATGGTTGCGCGAGCAGTGGGGTTGAGGATTTCATGTTCTGCAACGGAAGTATGCGCGGACATCGAGTATCTGGCCATGATAGCATGCATGGAAGGTGATATGTGGGTCCGCTCTTGTCGGCCACGGCGCTCGGAACAGCGCGTGCGGGAACATCGAGCAGAGTCTGCATTGTGAGCCGCTATACGGCGAGGTATCCCCTCAGTTCGGAATGTTCCCCCCTTTGGGGGAAGGTGATCGCGTGTTTTTTATAGTATTAAATGTTTTGCCGATCGGCGCGGGCCCTCGCACACACCCCTCTCTCCCCCCATAGAGTAGGTCGTGGCTGTTTTGGGCGCCTGTTTCAAACAGTTGGGGTCCATCCCCCTTAGGACGCACTGCTGCAAACAGTCGCATGAAGCATAGGTCCGGAGCCAGACCCCCCCTCCCCTTTTCCGCCCAATGTCGAAACGCCGAATGAGACAACGCTCAATAGGTGGTGAAGAGGAGGGAGACCATCTGCAGCACAATCCACACCACGGCTTTTCTTCAAAAGGGTTGTTGGGGTGCAGGTCGGCTGATTTCCACCCCCTTGTTCTGGAACTCGACATTTTCTCCGCCTCACCCACCTCCTGCTTCCCCCCCCTTCTGCCTTCACTCTGTCATTATTCTCGCCGTTCTGGCCCGAGCACAGTGGGGGCCTCGAGCCCTTTGCCATCCCCGACTTTACGGGGAGCGCCCGGCTGGGCAGCATTTTCCCGCTTGGCGCCGCGGTGTTGCGGCGCGCACGGCCAGCCCAGCCGAGGAGGAGACGGCAGATGAGCAGGAGGAAGTGAAGTGCGGGGGGGTAGAGAACCAGGCGGTGGAGGAGAAAACAGATGATGATGATAATGATAGTGATGATGATGAGGAGGAGGAGGAGGAGGAGGCGACGGAGGGGAACGCACCTGAGGAGCAGAAGGAGGAGACGGCGGAGGAGGAGGAACGACCGGACACATGAATTTGGGATTCGATATTTGCCAGCTTAGACAGTGCCTTCGCCGTTTGGTGTGCAGAGAGGTTTGAGTGAGGGCTTCGGCGCAAAGTGCAGGTCACGTCACGCAAGTGTGTTATGACCTGGCACAGACGCGCACACATTATATCGCATGGTTTGTGCAGGTCCACCGCGCAAGCAACCACGTTAGGCACGAGAAAGCAAGGAGTGTTTTTTCATATTGTAGTGGCCCTCGGCCTGTGCCGCCGATCGGGGGCTCTCCTGGCGGATTAACAGACGTGGTGAAGGTACCCTGGCGGCCCTGGAGGTTATGTTGAGTTTTCATCGGGTTCTTTTGGCGCGTGTGCTTGTTTTTTGTTTGGGTGGGCTGGGCTCTGTGGGCATTATCGAAGACGCCTGCGGCGAATCACCGCCGCCCCCTGCCTCTTGGAGTCGCCTATGTGGCCGAGCGTTGTGGCAAGAGCTCTGTCAAGCTATCGGGCCATGTGTTCCCCCAGCCGGTGTGGAAACCCTTGGGGAACATGTTGGGGAGCATGGCGGGGAAGATCAGGACTAGGAGGAGGAGGAGGAGGAGGAGGAAGAGGAGGAGGAGGGGGAGGGGGCATCTTGGCAGCCTCTGGGGTGGCTCTTGGGGCCTCGTGGGGGCTTCCTTGGAGCGTCTTGGAGGCATCTCGGGGGTCCCCTTGGACCTCTTGGGGGCCTTTGGAGGCTCCTCGGGGGTCTCGTTGGCCGTCTTAGGGTATTCCTGGTATTCCTGGCCTGTCTGACGCCGTCGGAAGCTGTCTTAGCGGCCTCTCCGGGCCAACCTGGGACCCTCTTGGGGTGTTCCAGGGTAGTCTTGGAGGCCATTTTTGGCGTCTCAGAGGTCTCTTGGGCGGTCTTGGGGTCCTCTTGGGGCCGCCTTTGGGGCCTCTTGGGCTGTTCTGGGGCCATCTTGGAGGCCTCTTGGGCGATCTTGGGGCGATCTTTGGGGGGCTCTTGAGCCGTTTCGGGCCGTCGGAAGGCCGAAAAGAAGCAACTGCTAAAATTCTTCAAGAACCTGAGGACAATCAATGATTTTGGCTTCTTCGGGCCTTCCTGGAGGCCCTCTTGGAGGCTTGGGCCGTCTTGGAGACCTCTCGGTGGCCTCTTACGCCGTCTTTGGCCATCTTGGAGCAATCTTGGGCCGTCTAGGTGGCCTCTTGGGCGGACTTGGAGGCATCTCGATCCCTCTTGGGCCGTCTTGGAAGCCATCTTGGACCATCTTGGGCGAACTTTGAGGCCATCTTGGCCGTCTTAGAGGGGATCAGGGCAACGGGAGACGAAATTTTGGAACCTTTCCTGATGGCCAGTGCGCAGGGCCGAAGCCCAAGGGGGGGGTCTTTTTAGAAAAGAACCTAAACCAAGTCGAGTGTAGGATGTTGCACGCCATTCTGGGCGGCGGATTAGGGCCCATCCCGCCCCGTGTTTGGGTTATGGGTCATAGGCCTCTTCGATGTTCGTTGGGATGTCGTGGGAGGCTTCTCGGGTGCATCTTGGAGACAATTTTGAAGGCGCTTGGGAACCATTTTCGGGCCTCTTGGGGCGTCTTGGAGGCCTCTGGGGGGTCTTTGGGGGGCCTCTTGGGGGCTTCTTGGGGCCTCCTGAGCGCTGGAAGAAAAAGGGGCACGACTGCGGCGACGTCGGCGCGCAAGGTGCCCGCGTCAGGTGGCGCGTGAGCGCTCTCGTTTCCTGTGCGGCGTGCCGCGCTACCGGCCCGCGCAAGCCACCACGGAAGGTCGCTATGCCACCGTGCGTAAGGCCCGTTCCTCTGCTTCGCTCAGGTGCCCTCCAGAGGGCGGACTCTCAGCCCGATCCCTTCTCAGACATCCAGCGCTCCGATTTTTGTTGATGCGTCTCATTTCCCCAGGGCTGGTTTTCCATCCCGAGTTGTTTTCTGACGGTCCCGGCGATCCTGGATCCCGCAGGTGGCTTTTGGAGGCCGAAGACGGCAAAATACACCGGCCGCTCCAATTGTTTCGGAGGCTCGGATCTTTGGGTCAAGCAGCTCGCGAACAAAGAGGCCTCGTATATGGGGTCCGAGTAGATTCGGTGAGTGGATCACGCCACATCGCCGATACATCGGCGAGCCGACGGCTATGCATCGGCGACGCTGGCGCGGAGAACATCGGCTCCGCACCGAGCCGTGACGGCGATGCATCGGCGATGCGACGCGCTCCTCCGCCACCATCCACCACTCCAGCCCCATCTGGGAGGCCAAGAGAGTATCGGCCAGGCGGCCGCTGATGCCACGCCTTATGTTGCTCCCATCGTATTAAGGATCACATCCCAGAAATAATTTCGAGCACCCAGACATGTGTCGAAGCAGTGCCGAACGAGTGCCGCCTCCCAGGGCCCGACCCGTGAAAACCCTCCAGGGTCGGTGTTTTCTCTTGGTGCTCGAAATTCTTTCTGGTGGTCGAGGCTGGAGTATAGGTTGGAGCCTGTTTTTCTTTAGATCCAGGCAAGCTTACTTGCATGGCGTTCGCCCCCCCCCCCCCCCCCCCCCTCGCCCCTCTTCAATCGAACACGAGCGTGCAAGTGCCTTCCGACTTGCGTGATTTCCGCACGTCGAATTGTTCTCGGCTTGCGTCAGACTCAGCCCCCCCCCCCCCCCGTCCATGCAAGTAAAGTTGCCCGAATCCAAAGAAAAACAGGCACCTGGTGGTCGAGGCTGGAGTAGAGGTTGGAACATCAGAAGCCACGGCCCCCTCCCCCCCTCAGCAGGGCAGCCGCCGGGGTGCGCGGAGATGCCGCGGCCGGGGCGGCCAGCGCGGGCCACCAGAGTGCTCGGAGCGGCGGCGGCGCCTCGGCGGGGCGAGAGGGGGGCGTGGGGGCTTCAAGCGGGCCTGGGGACGATGTTCCTGGCGTCTGTTGGCCAGGTTCGGGTATTGCTTGAGCATTTCTCAGTTGACGTCCAGACTCCGCCGATCGGGGGGCATGCCCGACCTAAGTACCGCTCTACCGGTTGCGTGGAAGAAGTCTGCCTTACAATTGGCTCAGCTACGCGGGTCTTGAACTAAAAAGCTGTGGTCGCAGCAGCAGCAGCAGCAGCAGCAGCAGCAGCAGCAGCAGGGAGCTTCTGTCTCGGCGCGTCGTTCCGCCGTTCCTGGCCCACGGCGCCTCGGCGCGACACGCCACGGTCGGGCCGGGGTATCAGATCGAGGCTGGTTCGGCGAGGGTACCTCCATGCTCTTCGTGCCTGTCGGATGCTTCCGTGCATCCTGGGGGAGGGTGCCCTCGAGCGATCTGATGGTTTTGGGTGTTTGGGCCTGCCGAGGGTCTCATGGTCTTGGAGGATGTTCTCCTGCTCTGGGGTCCGAGTGCATCCACATCTCGGGCCGGGCGAAAGGGGGGATTGGGAAAGGGGGGGTTACGAAATTTGCTGCATGCAGCTGGTTTCGGCCCGACCGAGGGGCCCATTCCTCGATACATGGGCGCCTCCCGGCGCCGGGAGGCGCCGGGAAAATCAGCTACGTGAGCTGATTCTCAACCCCCCCCTTTGCTATCCCCCCCTTTCGCCCGACCCGAACATCCCAGTCCCCCACCGTCAGTGCCCCGAGCCTGCCGCCGCGCGGAGCGGAGCGGCACGCTCTCCGCTCGATCGCAGGGCACAGCGAGTCGCCCCGGCCCGCCGCGGCGACACGCGGAGCAGAAGCTCTCGACCGCACCCCGCCGATCAACGATTCAGGCAACTCGACGGGCGGTGGGGTAGGGTTCCAGGAATCGTCGAGCCCCTGGCGAAATCCGGACCTGACCCCCGCCTGTCATCGATTCAGGAGAATCGATGGTTGGGGAGGTAGGCTTGGGATGTCGCCACCTAGCTTCCCGAGGCTCCGATAGAAATTGGAGCGCCCGGTTTTGGGCCATTCTCGGCTCCTGGAGGCCTTCGACGGGCCCCAGGTCCGTCGATCAAAAGACGGCTGGCTCGAGGTGAGAAACTGGCCCTGGGGAAGTGGTCCAGGGGTTCACGCATCGAAAAATCTGAGCGCCGGACATTTGGGTACGATCCGATTCGATACGATTCGATTCGCTTCGCCGGCTGGGGCCTCGATTCTGACTTAGTTTGGTTCACGGGCATCGGCCAGGGACAGTGGGAGCCCGGCGCGGCGATTTAGTTTCGAATCAATGCCCGAAATCTCCTTGTCGATCCGATTCGTGTCTGATCCGATCCGATTGCGCGATTCGATCGGGTTCGGGCCTTGCTGCCGTGGGGTGGGGGGGCCTGGGTGGGTCCACAGAAGGGCAGCTCCCCAGCGGGGGGCGGGTGTTCACCTTCATCATGGCCGCAGAGGGTCGGACGAGGAGGAAGGTCGGAGAGGGTCGGAAGAGGAGAAGGGGCGTCGAGGGGGAGGAGGGGGAGGAGGAGGAGGAGGAGGAGGAGGAGGAGGAGGGAGGGAGGAGGAGGGGAGGGGAGGTGGACGAGGAGGAGGATGGGGAGGGGGAGGGGGAGGAGGTGGGGGAGAGGAAGGGGGAGGGGGAAAAGGAGGAGGAGGAGGAAGAGGAGGAGGAGGAGAAGGGTGAGGAGGAGGGCAGGAGGAAGAGGAGTAGGAGGGTCGGAGGAACTGGCGGACGAGATGTGCTTCGACATGGAGGCTCCTGGATACGAGAGTTTTCACATGCAAGAAAATCAGCATGCTCAGCTTCGACCAGTGCACGCGTAACTGCCGAAACAGAAACAAAAACACATCGCTACTTTGCGTTCAATTACCTTGATCACCGATTTTGCTCGCACGAGTGGAAACCAAGGACGTGGTAATCATCGAGAAGGATTCCTCTCAGCCCTGGATAGCAGCCGCGCAGGCAATTTCAATATAGCGCCGCTCAAGGAGTACCAACCCAAGCTACGCGATTTCATACGCAGCCTCTACAAAGATGCTTGGACCATGTTACTGCAACCCGGTGTAGCCCCAGACTGCGTACGCAAACAACTAGACATATCATAGTGTATATATATATGTATGTATGTCAAGCCCGATGTACAATGTCAAACGCAACTTGATGTTGCAGGCTGTGCGGTACATTTACATGCTACAGGTATAGCGTTGCCGGATATACCGGACATAGTTTCCCTCACCTTGTCTATTTCTTTCCTCCTCCTCCTTCCTCCTACCTCTTGTCGCAAGTGCATAGTCGATATGTTGTTCAGGACCCGGCTCACTGCATGAGTTTGGCTATTGCAGGTCGGCTTGTGCGGTGTCCCCGTCTGCCTTGTGATCTTTCGATTCGCGACGTGGCTGCGTCACCCGGGGTGCATCTTTCCACGTTTCCTCTAGCCTGCGGCTTGGTGTGGGGGGGTAGTTCGTTACCTTTCACACGCTCGCTCATGAGGTTGCCTGTTGCACATAGGCTTGTGGGTTGCATCTGGTTTGCCTGGCGCTTCTTTCCAGCATCCCGGCCTGACACGCGCCCGCCGCCCTGGCAACGCGAAGGCGGCTGGGAGCGACAATCTTAGGGTTGTGTTCCCCTCGGTCTGGGTCAGGGGCGGAGGCTCGCAGGCCAGAGGGAGTTTGAGATCCAGTGCCTCTCAGTTTGGCTGTGGTCCTGCCCGCGTTTGCCGCCCCCGAATAGAAGCGGCTGTGGGATCATGGTTGGCCGTACACACTTGCAGATATTGTAGATGACGACGCACATTAGGAAGTAGATGCTGCATATGCCGCACCGTCGCACGATTGACTATCAACATCCACAAAAACGTACGTGACCGCTTACATCATCACCATTTTCTGCCTACCTCACGTGAGTGCACTAGACCAGGATTCCATTACTAAGGATACCACGGGGCAAGTCTGCGTTTTATACTACGGGTGCGTACGAGTACAGATGCGCGTTCCGTATTTGTTACTCTGGTTCCTCAGGCACAGGAGTGGGCAACCTCCTACCATCCAGGCGCTGGTTCGATGGCAGCCACCATGAAGGATTACGCGACACGCGACTGAGGTCAACAACGGTACCAAGCGCGATACCCTGTCCATGGAAGTGAGCATCTTCGACACGGAACGGACGCCCTGAAGCCGATGCCGACCGGTCTCACGCCGGCTAACATCAACAGAACGTGGACCCAATTTTTCTTCAACGTGCACACGCAGGTGAAGCACGACATCGAGTGCTAGCGGCACAACCTTTTCAGGTTCTGCATGGCCTCGTGTGACTACGTCGCGAATGCCTGCACGATCGACCGTAGTTCAGGCATGGTCCACAACGAGGCGAACGAGCTGGTACCACTCAAACCCGACTTCCTCGTCCCGCATAGCTAGCCGTAGAGATTTACCCGCAGGTGGTCAACGTGGGTTCTTACTACGAGCCAATCAGCGACATCATGCACACCGAGGTACCTGCGGCGGAAAAAGCTGTCCGCTGGCGTCTTCTATGTGAATTCACAGGCCGAGCTTTTCAAGAAGAAGTGCATCTACGAGGTGAATTTTCTGGATCGATTCGTGATTTACAACTTCTGCAAACAGGGCGACATCGTACCCACTACAGCAAACATGCACTACACGCCGTACAAGACCAACGAGGGCTACGAAGTCGACTACATCCGCATCCGCGATAAGTTCGGCAAGTACACCGAGGAGTAGAAGTGTAAGGGTGACGACAGCTACACCTAGTTCAAGCTCGTCAGGTTCCTGGACACCGCCTTCGAGAGCCACTACAGTTGCGAGCCCCCGTAGCTGGAGGGTACCAACGTCAAGTGCGGCAACGTGACGCATTACCCCAAGATCGATTGCGACGACCAGAACAAGGGCGAGGACTACGACGAATATTACGACGAGGACAGCAACTGAGCATGTTCTTTGGGTGGAGGGCAAATGGTGAAATCTGAAATGCCTTTTCGATGGATTCTCGAGGCTTGAATCTGCAAAAGGTGAATCACAAGACGGATTGATTTTCGAGGTGCAACAGCCTATGGATTTCACCCTGAGCCCTCCACCCTAAGAAAATGCAGAGAGCAAGGACAAGGAGGACATGGAGGACAGGGACGAGGAGACAGCCAAGTGAGTGCTACAACCCTGTCTAGCTGGAGCCACGGGGAGACGGCACAGGCGCCAATACATCTTCCGCCTGGTCACGCGGACAAGAAGTACATTTACTTCACTCTCCCACACCTCACCCCATCACCCAGCAGTACACGAGGGCACTACAGGCAGCATTCGGCTTACGACGTGCACGTGAATGCAAAAATCACGCACCAGGCAACTTCGAGAAGGCGCACGCTTCCGACGTACCTTGGACACCCACCGACCCCCCTTTTTCTTATTGCACCGTCTCAGATACTACATTACCAGGATCTTACATCGGGGTACCCAAACGGGCTCACGTGGCTCCATACTGCAGATATCGGCTCACAGCACAGGCGACTTACGCACCTACTGCATACCACGTGGCTTGTGCGAGCTACCACCGCATTCACGATACTCCCGGGGAGCATGTCTTAGCCGAAACTGTTTCTTGGCTACGCGACCTCCCATACCAGAGCATGTGGATACAGCTGGTTACGAACGTTACCCGCGAGGCAGACGACGGGCAGTATTTCATGATCCGATGTACTAAGTCGGCCTTGCGCCAGTGTCTCAAAGAGCTGCACGACAGGGGTATCAACGTATAAAAGGGCAAATGCATGTAAGGAGATTGCGAGGAAATTTCTGGTGACCGCCCTGAAGGACCACTCTACGGGCAAACACAGCCCCTGAGAGATGGCAACTGGCATGCTGCCGAAAATTTCATCGTAGTGGAAAGCAGGCCATGCGAGTCGGCAGTGATGTGCCACTGGTATATTATATGAAATGGGGCCTGGAAAAGGAGGATTACGTCACGTTCGCGATTGATACAAATTACGAATGTCCTATTACCGGTGGGCTCAAACAGGCGTTCGCTGCCAAACAGTATGGATTGCACTACATTGCGATTGATGGTATATGATATCTCATGAGCTACAACTACAACTAATACGACTCGGCGAACGAAAGCAAGCTACACTACCAACCAACTATCACCGGCGGTACCAATCACTTCGGGGACATGCTGGACACCAAGGGCATCGCGACCACGCATCACTGCTACAAGAACTACGGCGTTCCATCCAACGAGTACCCACAACAAGCGCACCTTGTAGACGATCCAGTATGGACACGCCAAGCGTGCGCGGGGCAGAACCGAGGATCATGACGATTAGGAACTACCTGAATTGCCAGAACAACTCGACGCCATGCTACCAAATGCCTCGAGCGCTCGGCGACCACAGCGCTACGGAAAAGGTGCGCCGTGCACGACGTTACGCGCAAAGTACGCAGTCCTTGGCACGAAGAGCTCCTTCCGCCGGGTGAGTGGCCCCGCCGCTCCCCCTTCCGTGGGCCTCGGGGTGGCAGGGTGTGGTGGCCTCCCCCGCCTGCCCACCCCCCTCGGAAACGGCCCCGCGGTGGCGCCCGAGGGGCCCTGCGCTCGCGGCGTTCGGGCGACCGCCCGCGGGTGCCCGCGCGCGCGCGCGCGATCGCGGAGTGGGGGGGCGGCCGAAGCCGCTGCGAGAGAGAGAGAGAGAGAGAGAGCAAGAAACATATATATAGAGAGAGAGAGAGAGAGAGAGACAGAGGGAGATGGTCGGAGGAGGAAGAGGGGCGTCGATAGGGGGCGTCGAGAAGGAGGAGGAGGAGGAGGAGCGCCGTGGAGGAGGAGGAGGATCGAGGAGGAGGAGGAGGAGGAGGAGGAGGAGGAGGAGGAGGAGGAGGAGGAGGGGGAGGGCTGTAGGCAGGAGCATCCTAGGCCCTGAGATTGCGTTTTGGCCCTCCTGGTCGAAACCAAGAGGCTGCTTTGGCCATCTTGGGGCCTGGGGGCCTGCCCTGGTCTTTTGTTGCGTTGCATTTTCGGGGGGCCGTGTCTGTCCCAACAAATTGTGCTGCTTCTTCTGCCCGACGCAGACCCGCTGCAGACTCGACGCGGGTGTGGCGTGGATTTGGCGCGGACGCGGATTTGACGGGCCTGACATGGATTCGACACGGATGCGGGCGCGAAGGGATCGACACGGCGCCCCGAAAGTGCAGCATGTCTTTCTCGGTGGTGGTGGTGATGCAGCCGCCGCCTCCAAGTCCAGAGCGCTGGGTGGCGCATGTTGCCCTCACGCCTGCGCAGTAGCGGCGGCCTTCCACCTTCTGGGACGCGCCAGCACTGCTGGGGTTGATCCGACGCCCTCGGGTTCGCCTTGGTTGCGCTGATCGTCGCTGGTGTGTCCGCGGTCGAACGCCGACCCAACGCGGAAGAATCCGTCTCAATCTGGCATGATGTTGGCTTTAGCTGGCGTTTTCCCGGTTGAGCTCAATCAGGCTTGATGGCCCGATTGTTCTGACGAGGAACAAACTCTCAAGGGATGCCTCCCCAGGCATCCGGCGTTCCAATTTTGTTCGATGCGGGGACCCTGGGGAGCTGGACTACTTCCATCGGGCTGGCTTCTCATCCCGAGTTATGTTTTGATGGTCTTGGGGACCGCTTAGGAGCCCCAGAGGCCGAACATAACCCAAAATTGGCCGTTCCAATTTCTTGTCGGAGCCTCGGATCTCTGGGCTGGAAAAAACAAGAAGGAGCTCGTTTGAGACACCCGCCTGGCCCCTGCGCCGCATCTCAGCCCCAGACCCGCGGGGCGCCACCCCTACGGTCGGCCCGGTCCAAGCCCACGCGTGACACCCCCATGCCTTCAGAGGTTGCCAGCTGGAGCCCGGAAGGGTCTGACAGGCCAGAAGCATGGGAGGGGCTGCGGCAGAGCGGGGATGTACACAGGGATCCGAGGATCCGAAACAATTGGAGCCGCCGGTTTCGATATATTCTCGGGTCCCGGGAGCAGAAAGAAAACGATTCGGGATAAAAGGCCGTCAGCCCTACGAATGTCGTGAAGACTTCCAGAGGTCCAAGCGTCAACAAAACAAGGGCGCTGGATGTCTGGGTCGGAGGTGGCCAGAGCCAGAGGGGTCTGGCCGGCCAGGGGCGTCCACAGGGAGCTGCGGTAGAGCGGGGGGGGATGTGCTCGGGCGGGATGGGTTGCTGGGGCTTGGATCCAGTTGTGTGGCTAAGCTGACCCAGCGTTAGTTCCAGCGTGCAGACAGAGGGGGGAGAAATGGCCCCCATCGTCGCCACAGCTGGACGGAGGCTCCGCGATCTAATCAGTTTCGACCCTTGAGGGATTAGGAGACAATTGTTGGGCAAATTTGCCTTCATCCTCCCCTCTTTGCCGATTTTACGTGGGCTTGTCCAGCTCATTCCCCCCGGCCGCCTCCAGATTGGAGCGGTGGCCAGGATTGGGCAGAGGGGGCCCCTGTCTTCCACACCCCCAGGTGGACCCCCGCGTGACGCATGACGAGGAGGAGGAAGAAGAGGACAAACGAGGAGAAAGAGGAGGCGGAGGCGGAGGCGTAGAGGTAGAGGTGGAGGTGGATGAGGCGAGGAGTTTGTGGAGGTGGAGGTGGAGGGGGAATGGAGGACGAGGAGGAGGAGGATGTGGAGGAGGAGGAGGAGGGATGAGGGAAGGGGAGATGGGATGAGGCTTCCCGGTGGAGGTGCAGGAGGGAAGAAGGAGGAGGACCAGGAGGAGAAGGAGGAGGAGGAGGAGGATGCAAAGGAGGATGAGGAGGAGGAGGAGGAGGCGAAGGAGGAGGAGGAGGAAGATGCAAAGGAGGATAAAGATGAGGAGGAGGAGGAGGAGGAGGAGGAGGAGGAGGAGGAGGAGAGGGACGACGGACTGCGCGATCAGGATTGCATAAAAAACATGGCTGCTCCGAGGGGCGGGTCCACCCCGATGCGAGCGCCAGCATCCCCGCAGGGCCTCTGGGCCAGCGCAAGGAGGCGGCAGGTGGCACCCCGATGGCGTCGCCCCAGGGGGGCTGCCGCTCGGGGTCCGCCCCGGTGCACGCGTCGCGCGACGCCGCTCGCCCCCATCTTCCCAGCGCTGCCACCTGCCAGTGATGCCAGGACGATCGCCACTGGCCTGGCATCGCTCGGACGTGTGCGTTTTTCCTTGGCGAGGACCATCGAGGAGCATCCTGGATCACAGCGCGAAGGAGGAGCCCACGAAACCGAGAAAAGCACGCGGAATGGACGTTGCGTCGTAGCCACCCTTCAGCGGCGCGGAGAGATGATTGCCAGCGGTACCTGACGACGAGGGGCCTGGCCGCCTTGCGGTCCGCGGTGGGCGCAACGCCACCGCGCCGTCTCTACAATAAGCCCTTGCCGGCCTCGCCAGACCCACATGGTGGACCCTGGCCGCGAGCTCCGAGGAATCCGCGGGGCCCGTGAGCGCCCGCAGGCGCTCTGGGCGAGACCTGTCCATTGCCGGGTGGCTGCGGGGTCGCCCCATCACAGTGCTTCAAGGGGGGAGGCTTCAGTCGGGCCTGTCCTTCTACAGGAGGAATATTCAAAAATAGTAACAATGGTCTGGGGACGGCTTTTTGACAATGTTTGGCTATCTTTACGTATTGTTTGACTATGTTTGATTTGGTGCCCAAAATCTTCCTGTAGGCCGACGTGCCCGACCTAAAGGGATGCGCTCTCAAGCCGATGGCAGTCACCACGGTCGTGCGAGACCGCACAGAATGCTGGCGGCAAGGCGCTACTCCGCCCTGCTCCCCGGGCCCATCCCTCCTCCTCCTCCTCCTCCTCCATCTCCTCCTCCATCTCCTCCTCCTCCTCCTCCTCCTCCTCCTCCTCCTCCTCCTCCTCCATCTTCTCCTCCTCTTCCTCCTCCTCCTCCTCTTCCTCCTCTTCCTCCTCTTCCTCCTCCTCCTCCTCCTCCATCTCCTCCTCCCCCTCCCCCTCCTCCACCTCCTCCTCCTCCTCCTCCTCGGGTCGCCTACGGCCCTGGGCAAGCAGGAGGGTCGGCAGATGGGCATCTGGAGTGCTCAGGGCGCGGGGCGGGCGGGGTACAGTCGGGCCGCTGAAGAAGGAACCCTTTTCGCTTGGGATGGGCTCAGCGTCTCTCGCTCTTGTTGTGCAGTCCGTCTTAGGTGCTCCTAAGGTTTGCTATGGGACATCGAGGCTTGTTTCGACAGCTCCTTCTGACAGCGTTTCGAATGTAGCCCTAACGCCCCAGGACAGACGACGGGCGGCAGCCCCCGCCCAGTCCCCACGCCCCCCGCGGATGCCACACAACGCCGCCGGGAGCGGCGGCGGAGGGAGCAGGCAGGGGCAGGAGGGGCAGGGCGGGGGGGGGGTAGCCCGCAGCAGCGGGCTCTTCAGCGGTGCGCGCAGGAGGATGCAGGAGGGAGGCGGGTTGGGGATGGAGGACGCCTCTCTCTCCCACTCCTCCCCTCCCCTCCGACGCATCTGGGCACACATGTGTGAGGCCGACCAGAACATCGGATCAGCGCGCAGTGCAACCACGCCCGTGCCGACCAGAGCGGAGAGCGGGCGTGACAGGGGATGGAGGAGGAAGGAGGGAGGCAGGAGGGAGGGAGGAAGCAGGGAGGAGGGAGGAGGGAGGAGAGGGAGGAGGGGAGGGGGGAGGGAGGGACGGGATTGGGAAGGGAGAGAGGGAGGGAGTGAGGAGAGAGGGAGGGAGGGAGGGAGGGAGGAGGAGAGAGGGGGGAGGGAGGATGAGGAGGGGAGCGGATGGGGAGGAGCGAGGAGCGCAGAGAGAGGCCTCCTGGCTTGGGGGGCGCACGGGCCCGTCGTGCCTGCGAGGGCCCCCCATCCCCGAGGTGCTGTTGGCTCTCCGGGGGGCGCCGCCGAGCCCGCGGGGGGCCGCCTGGTGCGCGGGGAGGTCGTCGCCGTCGCCGCCGTCGTTCCATCCCTCCTCCCTCCCCCTCCTCCCTCCTCCCTCCTCCTCCTCCCTCTCCCTCCTCCTCTTCCTCCTCCTCCTCCCTCCTCCCCCTCCCTCCTCCCCCCTCCTCCCTCCCTCTCCTCTTCCTCCTCCTCCCTCACTCCTCCCTCTCCCTCCTCCCTCCCTCCTCCCTCCTCCTCTCCTCCCTCCCTCCCTCCGTCCTCCCTCCCTCCCCCTCCTCCTCTCCTCCTCCTCCTCTCCTCCCTCCCTCCTCTCCTCCCTCCCTCCTCCCTCTCCCCTCCTCCTCCTCCTCCCTCCTCCTCCTCCCTCCTCCCTCTCCTTCCTCCTCCTCCTCCCTCTCCTCCTCTCCTCCTCCTCCTCCTCCTCCTCCTCCCCTCCTCCTCCTCCTGTCGCCGTCGCCGTCGCCGACTCGCGCGGGCGATGCCTCGGCGATGCGGCTCGATGCGGGGCCCAAGGTTCTCCACGCCGACGTCGCCGATGCATCGCCGACGTCGCCGGTGCATGGCCGATGCATCGGCGATGCGGCAGGATCCCCCGGCCCCATCCGCCTCGGACCCCATCGAGGAGGCCTCTATAGAGGAGAGGAGCTGGGGAGAGCGAGTTGATACCACTGCAGTTGGCCTTTAGGGGGGGGCTCCTGGTCGCCACGCCTGGACGGAGCGCGGGAAACTGGTGCGCTTGGCCTCGGGGAGGGTTTCCAGCCACCGATTTCGAGCTGCCGGTCTCTCCTCGCCCCGATCCGGGAGAAGGGGGAGGAGAGAGGAGGGCCTGGGGTTCCGGGCGTTGGATTTACGGATCAATAGCAGCACCAGAAGGATGGGGTCTGGGGCTGCGGTCGTGATTGTTCGCGGTGCTGCTGCTATTGTTCGTGACGTCGGGCTTCAGGGTCCCGCCTCCCGTCCTTCTGCCTCCTCCTCCGCCTCCCAAATCGTCAACGATATGTTTCTAGTTGACCGGTGGATTTTCGGGGATTCGGCTCTCAGTGGCGGGCTATCGGGCCCCAGGGCACCAGAAACGGATCTTGGGCGAACAATTATTTTGTGGGGTAGTGGTCGGGAATTTTGGGGCCGTGCGCTGAACTCAGGAGAGAACCAAATCCACACAGACACAATTAATCGTCGGTCCCCCCGAAGATGCGGGAAAATAGGGGAAGCGGGGGGGGGGACGAAAACCCAGAAAATATTGAAAAATTTAGCCAATCATGGGACTTTTGTGTGTGTGTGTGTTTATTTGTGTGTGTGTGCCCCTGGGCCCCCGCAAGAGCAAACATCACACCGTCGGGTGTCCGAGCTCCTCGCGGTTTTGAGAGAGGCCTCCCCCACGTGCAGCACCGGTGCCCGTTCCTCCTCCGGGCCTGATGCTCCAGAGAGGGCTTCTGTTGTCCTCCTGTCGTGCAGCTCGGGCCGGACGGCAGGGCAGGATAGTCGACTAGACGTGAGAGTGGCCTTTCGCCAGAGTGACCTCTGGTTCGGGCGCAGACGGGTCCCCAGATGGCTGAAAACGAAGCAGCAGCAGCAGCAGCTGCTTGCGCGCCCAGGTTTGGTCCCCCCGCGGCCCCCAAAAAGTCGCGCACCAAAGGTCACTCTTACCCAGGGTCACTCTTGCGTATAGCCGATATAGGGGAGGGGGGGGTTACGAAATCTGCTGCGCGCAGCTGGAATCCAGTTGCCCTCTGTTGTGAGGAGAACGTATAGGATCAAGTCCGACCTGTCCCTTCTACAGGAGGAATATTCAAGAATAGTTTCAAACACAAATACGATGTTTCGACTATTTTTGAGTATTTGTGAGTGTTTGGGGAGTATTTTTGTTTTTTCGTTCAAAATCCGCCTGTAGGAGGACATGCTCGACCGAAGTGTAGGAGGGGGTACAGAGAGCACGGTGTTTACACTGGTTACACAGGTGGGAGGAATTCGTGCATTCCGTCGGGGTCGGGATTGAAATTCGTTAAAGAAAGCGCGCCCACCCAGCTCGCAAGCACTTGGTACATATGCGGCCCGCTGACATTTTGGTTTCCGACGTCCTCCTCCTCTTTGTTTCCTGCTCTTTTCTCTACCATTTGGAGCAGGTCGAAGGCGACCGCGGCTCCGGCGGAGGAGCGCCCCCTTCCTCCTTCCCCTTATTCCTCGTTCCTCCTCTTGGCATTCCTGCTCCACGATCCGTCGCCATGAATTGTCCTCCCTCCTTGCTCCAAGAACGGCAAATGACGGGGCCGCTCGCCAGCGTTTGCATTGTGCCGCCCATTCGGTATCCGAATTCAGCGAACCGGCGAGGTGGAGGGCGTGGCCATTGCAAACGTTCGGGGCGCCTTTCGAGCGCGGGCGGCAAGGGCCGCCAAACACACAATCGTAGCGCTGACGTGGGAAGCTGTTGGTGCCCGCGGCACGGCCCGCCGCCGTGCCGGCGCAGCGGCCTGCGGCACGCAGCTGGTGTCCGCTCCGCCGCAGGGCCCACGTCTCGATGCATGGGCGCCTCCCGGCGCCAGGAGGCGCCAGGAAAACCAGCTGCGCAAGCTGATGATCGACCCTGCCTTCTGCCATCCCACCCTGTCGTCCCCCCCCCCACCCTGGGCCACGGGTAGCGGTAACGGTCGTACGTTTGGGGGGAGTCTTGGGCCCTCTTTCTACACATGTTGGTGCTCGCGCGCGTACTGTGGCAATCGCAGCGCCCACCCTGCCCCGACGTGCCCACCCGCCCAAACGCTCCCGTTACCCAGCCCCTTCTTTCTTCTCTGTCCCAGGGCAACGACCGATACGGGACATAAAAATACAAACTAATAGTAAGAATAGTAAGGCTCAAGCCATTTTGGCTCAAGTGCCAAATTGGCTCAAGTTTGACATCAGTTCGGCATCCCCCGTGTCCCACCTTGCGCGTCGCCTCGGTTCCCGAAGGCACGGCCCAGTGAGTGTAAGGACACCAACAAAGATGCGGAAATCATCGATGAGCTGCCAGAGGAATGTTCTCGGAGGCGACGGTTACAGCGTTTGGCCATTCACTGATCACAGAATACTAAGCAACAGGTCGTTGTGCAAAAATTCACGCTGAGGGCGGATGCGCTAGTGTTCAAGCCGAGTTGCCTCACCGAATTTCGGCTCGAACGGATCAAATGGATGGTGATGGATTTCCATTCTGTTCTCATGGGCCATTGCCATTGCAGCCCCGAGAATCTCGAATAACATCACGGGATGCCAGCTCAGACTCTGGCGGCACGTGGCCCGGGTCTCAACCACAAGATTTTGATTGCTTTGTTTTTTCTGTTTTTCCGAGCCGGTTGCGAGCACAGTTTTGCTGTACACCCTTGTCGTTGCATCAGAAGCGCCGCGCGGGAACCCATGGCCAACTTATGTTCGATGCCTGCTGGATTCCGCTTTGAAAGCCACTTGCGACCGCGACCGTTTCGATGATTGCCAACGCGAGTGTAGAGATTCGGATACCGAGCCGGACAGCATTTCAGGCAGCGTGGGCGACAAGACAGCGTCTCATTGCAAGGCGAACGACAGTTGCTTGGGCAGCGACTGCGATGACACCTTGTGTTGCGTTTTCCGATGCCGTTGACGAGGCAGCTCTGGGCAGCTCTGCCGCGCTGCGTTTTCCGATGACGCTGACGAGGCAGACAGGCGCGAGTTGTTTCTGACGCCGTTTGGCTCACGGTGCTTTGCAGAACGCACCTCATTCAGTTCAGCCTTATTCCGTGTGTGAAGATTGTTTCCCCGCCGCGCTATCGCGCGGACAGGCAGCCAAACAGGATTGCTGGATAGGAGATCATGAAACGAAGTTTCGTGCCAGAGCAGAACATGGCACGTCCTCCGTCGACACATGGTACGAGCTGGAGGCACAACGTTTTCCAATTCAAACATCACAAGATTTGGTGTGATTCTTGTTTGTCCGCGTCTGCCGAATCTGATCGATTCGAGAAGGCTGTGCAGGGATCTCAACGTAGGGTGTCAGCGGACATGCGCAGAGTTTTGATGAACATGGTGCAAGAGATAAGGGAAGACGTCCTGTTTCGTTGAACTGTGGATGTTCCAGTTGGGCAAGGATGGCGATCATTGAGCGTCATGTTCTTCCTTTGGTCCTCTCTTCCTCCCTCTCCCTCTCCCCCATGTCGCTGCGTAGACACGCGCGGGCCATGTCCCATGCGCAGTACGAAAGAAAGAATACGAACAGTATTAAGAAACGTACTAACAATAATGCTAACAATGAATTCGCAGGCGTTGCGTGAAACGCGGGGTACGATACATGGGGAGGGGAATGTTGTTCTACGCGTTTAAGCCGTAACGTGCGTTACGGGGGGTTCGCTTCCCCCGCTCCGTAACGGAGACGAGCTTCCGGGGAGGGAGTCCCGGCCTTCCCGGCTCTGTGCCGTGCTCACGGGGCATGGCACGGCGTTGACAAAGCACCCGAGTTTGTCGAGACGCCTCTTGAAGCGGCCGTTGTCGTCGTTATCGCCGTCGTTGTCGTCGTCGTTGTCGTCGCCGACGTCGTCGTTGCCGTGGTCGTCGTCGTCGTCATCGTTCCCATCCTCGTCTTCGTCGTCGTTATCGTCTTCGTCGTGTCCGAGAGCCTCGGAGGGCCTGCAAACGCTTCGAGGCCTCCTTAGATTTCCTGATGCTTCTTGAGACCTCAGGCGGCCGTCTTCGTCGTTGTCGTTGTCGTCCTCGCCCTCGTCTTCGTCGCCGTCGTCCTCGTCGTCGCCGTCGCTTCCGAGGGCCAGGGCCAGGGTCTCGAAGGGCTTCCAGACGCCTCCACAGGCCTCCAGGAACCTCCTCCGGCCTCTGGAGACCTCTGGAGACCATCACAGGCGGCCGCCGTCGTCGTCGGTGGCGGCGGCGGCGTTGTCGTCGTCAGCGTCGGCGTCGGCGGCGGCGTCGTCGCCTTCGTCGCCGTCAGTGATCCTCGTCATCGTCGTCGTCATCTCTGCTCTCGTTTTTGCTCCGGTCGCAGTCCCCGACCCCGTTCTCGATAACGTAGTCGTCGTCGTCCTCTTTGTTCTCGTCCTCGTCGTCGTCGTCGTTGTTATCGTTGTCGTTATCCTCGTCCTCGTCGTCGTCGTCGTCCTCGCCGTCGTCGCCGAGGGCTCGCCGTCGTCCGCGTAATCGTCGTCGTCGTCGCCGTCGTTCTCGTCGTCGGCGGCGTCGTCCACGCCGTTGTTGTGGGCATCGTCTTCGTGGTTGTCGTCGTCATCGTCGTCCTCGTCCTCGTCCCCGTCCTCGTCGTCTTTGTCTTCGTCGTTCTCGTCCTCGTCTTCGTCGTTGTCGTCGTCCTCGTCTTCGTCCTCGTCGTCGTTGTCGTCGTCGTCCTCGTCGAGAGATCCTCGAAGGGCCTCCAGACGCCTTCAGAGGCAGAGGTCTGCGGAGACTTCCTCAGGCTTATAGAGACTTCCAGAGACCTTCAGACGCAGCCGTCGTCGTCCTCGTCCTCGTCTTCGTCGTCCTCGTTGTCCTCGTCGTACTCGTCTTTCTTGTCGTCCTCGTCCTCGTCCTCGTCGTCCTCGTCCTCGTCCTCGTCCTCGTCCTCGTCGTCCTCGTTCTCGTCCTCGTCGTCGACGTTGTCGTCCCCGTCCTCGTCCTCGTCCTCGTCCTTGTCTTCGTCTTCGTCATCATCGTCCTCATCCTTGTCGTTGTCGTTTGCGTCGTCGGCCAGCACCTGGGCGCCCCCCCCCGTTACGCCCTCACCGGGGCTCGACCCACCTCCCGTAACAGACGTTAGCGTGGGGGGGTAAAAACACATGCTCGAGGTGAAGAAACGTGCGCCCTTTCTGCCCTGAAGCCCCTCTGGGGCCCAGAAGTGGGACACGAAAGATGCACGCTCCTCACCCCCATGTATTTTTCCCCACCCCCCCCTCTCAACGACGCCCGGATCTCCCCTTGTCCCCCCCCCCCCCGGCGGAGGTGCGGCGGCCCCAGCCCAATTCGCCCGCTGCACCGCGCCGCCGGCGCCGCTCCGCGCAGCCCCGCGCCGCCCACACAGCGCGGCCAGGGGCGCCAGTCCGTCGGCCCCGCCCGCCCGCGCAGCGCGCCGGGGGCGGCGCTCCGCACTGCCGAGTCGCCCGCCGCCGGCGGGGCGGGAGGCGACCGATCGGCGGCGGGGAGGCGGGCGGGTGGTGATCGGCGGCGAGCCCCAGGGGGGAAGTGCGAAGGTCACAGAGGGCTCTGGAGTCCCCCCCGCCCTGCGGAGAAGTTGTGCAGTCACAGGGAACTTCTCGGAAGGCGCGAGGGAGCTTCTGAGAAGGCCCGCCGCCTTCTGAGCAGGCCTTCTCCTTCTCGTTTCCCCCCCTCGCTCGCCGCCGAAGTCTTGGAGGGTGACCTGAATGGGGGGTGAAAGAAAGGGCCCTAAAGGGTCCCTTTAGGTCCCCTGCTGGTTCCAAAAGAGGCCCCAAAGGGCCCCTTTGAGTTTTTTCCTCACCCCCCATAGAAGTCCCCCCCCCATTTACCACCCGCCCAGGAGAGGGATCAGGAATTTGTTTGGGGGGGGCGGGAGGATTGGATTATGCCGAGGATCATCCGACGACGCCTTGGGATGCAAGGAGAGGGGAAGAGAAGCAACGAGGGCGAAACGGACGGGGTGCAGCGGGTTAAATGCGTCAGCACTAATACTGCGATCTTCCGCCACCTCCTCCCTCCATCTGCTGATCCACACATCCCACTACATCACATGCCTCTCAGAAGAGGCTCGCGAGATGAGTCCGCGGCAGTAGTATCGTGCATATCGGGGAAGGCACAAATAGGCGATGCCCAATCCACGGGCACGGCATCGCCAATGGGAGTGCCTTCCTGTGGGTGTCGCCCATTACGCAACAAACGGAGACTATACACAGTCGACTGCGACTTAGGTTGAGAGGGGCACCTTTTTCGCAATCCACGAGCATGCCAGTAGAATGGAACCCACAGCGGTCACAAACAGCAATAGGCCCAAGACGCTTCATCTGATGGCTATTCACTTGAGGAGTCGTGCACGCAGCGGCGGCGATTGTACACAATATTTAAGAAGTTGCTCCAGCAGTCTGAACATCTATACTGCCTATCCGCAGAGTTCCTTTATCTGTTGCCATACCAGACCAGCGCTAGTCAAGGAGAGGCTGGGGAAGGTAGACAGGGGTCAGAACGTTTCAATACTCCATTGCTATTTGGAGATATTCTTAAGCATCCTAGCCATTACAAAGCCAACACGTTTATTTACACTTCGGAATAACTAGAACCTCGGAACTGGACAACCTGTCCGGGAGCAGGTCGTCGAATTCACGCATAGCAGTTTTGTTCGGGCGTCAGCAATTTTAGTGCCCAGCCACTGGGTACTTTGAGGACACTTATGCGGTCAATCCCGATGCCGTCAACAGCTCAGTGAATTACATCTTGCGAGCTGCAATGGATTGAGCTCAACATATTTTGATCGCCGCCCATTTGGGCACCCCTCCTTCCAGAACCTCCCGGGCCTCCCCCCGGCCACCCGGGTTGCCCAAAACACCCTCCAGGCGACGCGAGTCAGCGACGAGAGCGGCACAATAGGGCCAAAGACGCCCCGAGATGGCTTCAAGATGGCCGGAGAGTTCCCAGGAGGCCTCCAAGATGCTCCCAAACAGGGCCCCGCATGGCCAAACTAGCCGCGGCACCAGGAGGAGGAACGCGAAGAGGAAGAAACGGAGGGAAAAGTTACGAGCAGGAAGAGAAGGAGGAGAAGGAGGAGAAGGAGGAGAGGGAGGGAGGAGGAGGAGGAGGAGAAGGAGGAAGAAGGAAGAGAAGGAGGAGGAGGAGGAAGAAAAAGTGTGCCCCCCCCCCCGAGGAGGGCCAGCCAGGGAGCAGCAGCCCACTTGGCTGGACGACCTGGTCCAGCTCGCGGTCGTGCCTAGGTCGGAGAAGGGTGCCGGCGAGGAGGCGTTGGCGGTGGCCGGGGAGGACAATCGGGCCGGACGAAAAGGGGGGATTGGGAAAGGGGGGGTTACGAAATTTGCTGCATGCAGCTGGTTTCGTCCCCGCCGAGGGGCCCATTCCTCGATACATAGCCGCCTCCGGCGCCGGGAGGCGCCGGGAAAATCAGCTACGTGAGCTGATTCTCAACCCCCCCCTTTGCTATCCCCCCCTTTCGCCCGACCCGACAATATCACAGTACAATTGCGGGGGGGTCCGCGGTTTGCTCGCCTGCCTGCGCTTTCCAAGTCAAGCCTGGTCGGTCGGGGCAGGCCCAAGGGTAGGCGACGCTTCCGTGCCGCTACTGATCGTTTCTCGAGTTCCAGATTGTCGGGCAGCAGCATCCCAGCAGTATCCAGTATCCTCCAGCCTCCCTCCCTCCATCCTCCCTGCTGCTCCACGGTCTTGCCTTCTCCTCCACGTTCTCTTCCTCCTCGTCTTTATCCCTCCCTCCCTCCCTCCCTCGCTTCTCCCAACACGCCTCCCGATCCTTCCTACTCATCACCACCACCATCATTGGGAAGCACGGGCAACCAGGGCCTCAAAGATTCATAGAGTGCTAAGGCACACGAGCCCCATCACAATGTCCAACACCAACAGCAGCTCACTGGGAGGCCCAGGGCATCCCTGGCCCAACAGTGATAACTTTCGGCTGCTGGTTTTCAACTGGGTGGCCTCAAATGTAGAAGTACGGCGGGCTGTGCCATCGGCCTCGAGGCTCGAATGATGGAGTGCGTATGTTACCTCGGTATTCCATGGACTGGCCTGGTCGTACTTGGTGTGAAGCAGTTTTTCCTTCCTGACGCACTCGTGGCTGTTGGAGATTGTACCGCGTCTCGGGCCCTCCCGCGTTCTTCATCCCATCGGTGCCGTCACATCTGTGCCATACTCCGTTCTGAAATGCGGATGTCCTTTATCAGCGCTCTTCTTTACTTTTCGAGTTATCCAGTGTTATGTTGATTTGCATTGCACGGCACCGTGCGTTGCACACCTTTTCGTTGCATGGCATTGCATGCTTCTTAATGTATCGCGCCAGGTTCAGATTGGTTGCGTCTTGTGTTATATGATCTTCGCGACGCCCGTGAGTGCCAGGTAACAAGAAAAGCAACCGTTGCGCCTTGACGTGTTGTGCTAATGTGGCGATGCAGGGAGGTGTATTACTCGTAGGCTGGGATTCGGGTGTCCGTTATCAGCCCTCTTTCTTACGTAGCAAGTCGTCCAGTGTCGGCATGTTCGGCAGAGATGCTATGCCCATGCCTTACATACCCGTCTGTTTAATCATGCTGATGATAATACATGATTCGCTCTTACTTGCATTACTGAACTGACACGTCCACTGCCGCTTCTCATACCACTAGACTTGCGCTGAATTTCTGGAAGGGCATCGTTGTGACGTCTCTTGCGATGGGGAGGGAGATGTTCTGCAGTGTAGCGTCGATGGGGGTCAATGCGGCATCGTTCCAGCTTGGCACCTCACCCGAATATCTTGTTTATTCTTGGGGCTGGGGGATAGGGGATAGTTTGATTCTCGGCAGGGGGGGAGCATCACATAAGGTCTTTCCCAGATTCAATCGCGTGCGTGGCCGCCGCCTCGGACTAGCGGCCAGCCCAATCGATCGTGGGGTGAATTTTGTTCGTTTGTCCCCGCTTCGCGATCCCGACCGCATTGTGGAAAGCTCTCGGATCTGCGGGCTGAGCTTTTAACCCCGCGACGTCTCAGTTGAGAGCCGTGCTGCAATGTGTCGTGTTTATTGGCGCCCACAGGCGTAATGGTTCATCTTTGTAGATAGGGCTGTGATATCTTTGCGGCTCTCAGGGAGCCTGCATGGCGACAGCGCTGTGCACGGTTCCCGATGTTGTCCCAGGGTCGTGTTGCTTACTAGCGTTGTTTTGTTTATTGCGTTGTTTTGTTTATTGCTCGGCGAAGGCACGAGCTGCAGCCCTAGCTTTCCACATTACAGATGGCCTGGTCTTCTGACCATTCCCTGTCACCTTTAATTTTCCCGCGTGCGCGTTATTTTGGAGTTCTGCGCACAGCCACCTTCCAGAACATTGATCGTGTTGCTTTGAATCTTCGTCTCTCCTCCCGCCTTCTTTCCTCCAGTACTTTAGCCGCTATAGCCAACACTGCAAGCATCTTCAACCGGCGGTGCAGTTCGGCACGATTTCGACAGGGGGAACAGACGTGATGGTTGCACTTGTTCGCTTGCCCGTGCGTTCTCCCCAGCCAAAAAATGGTCCTCCGTGATTGTTTTTTCCACAGTGTGTGTGTGTGTGTGAGCGTGTGTGCGTGTGTTTTTCCATGTGTTAGTTGTTCCTCCCTGGCGTCCTCCCCCTGCTCCCTGAAGCGTGCGGCGAATGGGACCCATCCAACGGTTCTGCCTGCACTCCCAACTGTCCCTCAGGCAGGTTCCAGTTTGGTTTGCATGCGCACGATCTCCCCCATGCTTTGTACAACCACCTATGGACCCAAGGCCGTTCTGGCCTCACCAGATAATGGGCTTATTTGCGTGCTGCGGGAGAGGCCATGGCCAGGAAATTCCGTCCGGTCTGTGGTCATACGGGGCTTTAACATGATAAGCATGACCATCATTACGACACTATCAGTATTACCATCCTCAGCGTGCTAATCATCCTCATCCCGCACCTCCTCATCTCCCTGTTCATCCTCCGTCCCCTCCCCGTCGCCCTTCATCCTCCTTTTCCGTTCTCTCCCCCTCTCACCACCCAAATGGCAGGCGACGCTCAGTGCCACCGTGCTTCTGGCTGCCTTCAGGTGGCCAGCGAGCCTGCCACGGTGAACCTCTACGAGGGGTCGGAGAAGATGTTCCGCGCCATGCACGAGATGATGGGCTCGCAGGAACTGAAGACCCAGAAAAAAAGGCTGCACCACATTTTCGGAGATCAAAGTGGGGGCTCGCGTCCCAGCGCAAGGTCCCCATTCCTCTCGCATCTTGACGGCTCCTGCGGCGCCGCCTCAGGCGGGCCCCTGGCGCCGGGAAGGGGTGCGGGGAGGTGCGCGTGCGTGCGTGCCTGCGTGCGTGCCTGCGTGCGTGTGTCAGTGTGTGTATGTGGTGTGTGTGTGTGTGTGTCTCTGTATGAGTCCGTGTGTGTGTGTTGGTGTGTTGGTGTGTGTTGGTGTGTGCGTGTGTGCGTGTGTGTGTGTGTGTGTGTCTGTGTCTGTGTCTGTGTCTGTGTCTGTGTCTGTGTCTGTGTCTGTGTCTGTGTCTGTGTCTGTGTCTGTGTGTCTGTGTCTGTGTCTGCGTGAGTGTATGTATGTCTGTGTGTGTTTGTGTGTGCGTGTCTGTGTGCGTGCGTTTGTGTGCCAGCGCCGGGCCAGTCCGCGCCAGACCCATGCCTGCCCGAGGTTTTCGCGGGCCGTCCGTGGCGGCCCCAGTCCCTCGCGCAGAGGCCCTGCTAGGTCCGCGGCGTGCGCTGCGGCGGTGGCGCGGGGACCGCGGCGGCGGTGCTGGCAGATGACTGTCTGGGCTGGCAGGAGCACCTGCCCGCACGCGCACAGGCGATGCTGCGGTGGGGTGGCCTGCACGGCGCCGGCGGCGGCGTGGCGGGGCTCGCTGGTTTGGCTGCGCGCCGCATCGCGCAGCTCCCCAAGGTGCCGAGTAGGGCGACGCCGCGACGCCGCAGCTCCCCGCGACGCAGCGCCGCCGCGACGGGCGGCGGCGATGGCTCGTGTGCGCCGCATCGCGCACGAGCCATCGCCGCACGGGCGACGCCGCGCCGCATCGCGCATCGCGCAGCTCCCCGCGACGCCGCGACGGGCGGCGGCGATCGCTCGTGCGGTCGTGCAGCCCGCTTGCGCAGGCCAGAAACATAATCAAGATGCCGGTGCGATTGTCAGTGCCAGTGGAAGTGCGAGGGCAAGCGTAAGTGTGCCTCCATAGTGTTCTTGCCCCTTCCGAGGAGATCGAGCTGTTGAACGAGATCCACGCCGTCCGGCTGGAGGTCTCCAGGCTCGACGGCCGCTTCGACAAGGTGCGCCGCCGGTTCACCGAATCGGTGGAGCGCGAGGTGCTGCTGACGCAGCGGCTCACGCAGGCCGTCAAAAACGAGCAGGAGCAGGCCATGGGTTGTGCGAACAGATTTGGGCGCGTGCGGAAATGTCTATTGATGTTCGTCGTCTTCGGAATGTTGCGGTCTGCGTTTCAGGGAGACGCGCCAGTTTTCTGGACACCCCTATAGGGGTATTGAGACCTGCGGTACGATGCTCAACAGCACATGTAGTCCAAAAATAAACGTGGCCACTGTTGGGCCAGCGGCCCTCTGTCTCAAATGGAGCACGCCCGCGGCGGCACCGCGAACCTTGTTCCAGATCGGCAAGAATTGTTGTCAGCCTTCGTTCCCCCCTGAGTCGTCCATACCGGTTTTGGTTGTACATCGATCTCGGCCAAAATCGGGCGCCGGTTCCCTGGGCGCCGCCGACGTCGAACCGGTTGGTTCCCGCGCGCAACCTCCTGTTGCACCAGAGCGGGAAGAGGCCCGCAGAGCGGGAGCCCAGAGCGGGCCCCTCTTCGGATGAAGAGCCAGCACTCGCGGGATGTTGGCACGGCTCGTGGGGCCGCCAGGGGGAGGGGGAAAGAAAAGAGGAAGAGGGCGAGATTGACATGGAGGGTATACGTGTTTCCTTGAGGTCGGCTTCTTTCCAGAATCTCATTTTGGCCGACTTCCTGCGGACTCGTACGTAGCGGTAGTGTCGCAGGAGACCCACCGTCTATAGCACATCGAGGACACAGAGGACGAGCAGAATGAGGAGGAGGAGGAGGAGAAGGATGCCTCTTGGTGGTCTCCTCGGTACTCTCCTGAGGGCCTCTTGATGGCCTCATGGGGGCTCCTTGGGGACTTCGTGATGGCCTCTTCGGGCCCTCTGGCTGCTTGCAGCAAAGGGTCCTCGCTTTTATGATGGACATGCCTTTGGAGGCCGCACGATCTGGTTGCCGCTTGGGCACAAACGGGTCCCCATGTGCCCCGCCCCAGGCCTCGGGTGCCGCATTTTTTCCAGTGGTCTTTGGGCTCTGCATGGGCTCCTGCGCGACACCCTTTGGCCCCTGCGGCGCATCATCCCAGTGGTGTCGCCCGGGCTCCGTGTGAGTCACGATGCAGCCTTAGGTGGCCTCGCGGTACCGCACGGCGCCGCCACTGCCGCCGCGTGGGGCCCTTTTCCCAATCGTCCCGCCGCCTGCGGCAAGGCCGCCCTGTGTTGGCCCTCCGACCACCGTCCAGCATTGAGGGCCAGTGCTGTGTGGGACCGCTTTGGCAACGCGCCTGTCTGGCGCGTGCAGTCAATGGGTCCCGGCCCAGCTGCGCTGCCCCTATAGAGGCCGGAGGGGCCCGCTGGCCCGCCAGCCGGCGGACCCGTCGCGCTCCGCGCTTCTCCGCCCGGGGACCGAGGCAACGAAGACAGCCCGAGGCGCGTGGCTTCGCAGCGTGTCCCGGTTCTCGACAGGACCGGCGCGCTCTCGCCAAATGAGGCGGCGTTGGCGCCATGTGTCGGTGGGTATAGGCGTTTCAAGATGCGTGGATGTGGCGCCCATGCGCCAGATCCACGAAAACCCAAGTCCGTGTTTGCGTGCGCCCAGCGGAAGGCCGTCACGTGCCACTCTGCTTTTACTCCTGCTGAGGAGTCTCATGGGGCTTGTTTGGACCGTCTTGGGCTGTCAGAGTGTCGTTGGCAGCCGCTCTTGGAGCAATGCCTGGACGCCGTGACATGCATCACCTCTCGGCCTTCGCCTTAAGAGAGCCGTGTGATACGCTGCTCCGCGTCATGTCGGTGTCTCTCTTCGTGTTCGCCGTATTCGGGGGCCTCTTGGGGGTGTCGTGGGAGCCTTTTGGAGGCACCATGGGGTCGTTTTGGGAGCCTCTCGGTGATTATTTGGGGCTCCTTGAGCCGTCTTAGGGCGCTGCTGGGTAGTAATTATCGGAGGTTGGGGGGTGAGATCGCAATGGAACGGAGAGCCTCCCACCGGAAAATCGGTTTCGACTTCGCGTTCGTGTCGCGCGTGCGAGCGAGGCGAAGTTGCGTGGGCACGCGAGAGGATGATCCTGCCGTCATTAGGGCGATTCGGATGCAAAAGTCCAGCCATCCGGTGGGCGCGCAGTGGTTCGGGGTGACCCGCCGTGGTGTCTCGCGGTGTCCCGATGGTGTCCCGCGGTGCCTCGCCGTGGCCGCGCGTTCTAGGGCGATTCGGATGCAAAAGTCCTGCCCTCCGGTGGGCGCGGAGGTGTCCCGCGTTGTCCCGATGGTGTCCCTCGGTGTCCCGCCGTGGTGTCCCGATGGTGTCCCGTGGTGTCCCGCTGTTTCCCGGTGGTGTCCCGCGTTGTCCCGTAGTGTCCAGTGGTGCCCAGTGGTGTCCCGCGGATCGATGGTGACATCGGCAACGTCGGAGATGCGGTGGGATCGGTAGTGTGATCGATGGTATGATCGATAGTGTGGTCGAAAATGGGATCAGTAGTTGCATCGATCGCGTGAGCACCAGTGAGATCGATAGTGAGATCGATAGTTGCATCGATCGTGCAATTAATAGTCAGGTCGATAGTGCAATCGGTTGCGAGATGGACAGTGAGATCGATAGTGTGAGCGATTGTTAGCTCGATTTTGACATCGATTCAGATCGCTTCAGACGAGTGCGAAATCAACAGTGAGATCAGTCGAGTGAGATCGATAGTAAGATCGGTCGTCAGACTGATAGTGAGATCGATTGTCAGATCGATTGTTGGATCGATAGCGAGATCCGTTGAGTGGGATCGATGGTGACTTTGGTTGTGAGCGGAGGGTGAGCCACCAGTTGTCAGCAGCTTGTTTTTACCCCTCCCGGCATCCTTATCACCCGAAGGGTGGTCGTACAGGTAACGCCTCTGGAGTCCGTCCGTGGGGCCTCTGTAGGCAGTGCTGGGGCCCTCTTGGGGTCCTGAGGGATCGTCCTCAGTGGGCCTTCTTGGGGCCTCGTGGGCCGTCTTTGGGCCATCCTGAGAGCCCCATCGGCCGTCTTGGGCTGACAGCGGCCCGAAAAGGCGAGAACGCGAAAAACGCGAAATGAGCTACGAAACCAGCAAGTTTGACAGCTCTGGGCCATCCTGGAGGTCATCTCGGGGTCCTCCTGGGCCATCTTGGCGGCGTCGAGGCGCCCAGGGAGCCTCACGAGCGAGGGGGGGCCTTCGACAACTTGTCGAAACCCTACCAGGCAGCGCAGGGTATTACGATAGTTTTCTGATTCATTGGTTTGCCGATCGGCGCGGGCCCTCCTCCTCCCCTCCTCCTCCTCCTCCTCCTCCTCCTCCTCCTCCTCCTCCTCCTCCTCCTCCTCCTCTTCCTCCCCCCCCTCCTCCTCCTCCTCCGCCTCATCCTCCTCCTCCTCAAGTGGGAGAGGGGGGAGGTGGCGGCTGCGAGGCTTCGATGGGTTATCACCCCCCATGGAGTAGATCCTGGCTGTTCCTGGCGCCTGTTTCAAGCAGGCGGGGCCTCCCCCATAGGACGCACGGTTGAAAACAGTCGCTTCAAGCAGAAGTCCAGAGCCGGACCCCCCCCATCCTTCCCCTTCCGCCCAATGTCGAAGCGCCGAAGAAGAAAACGTTCACCAATTGGTGTTAAACGATTGTGGCCTCTTGGAGCCCCGGGGCGATCTTGAGGGCTTTTGGAGACATGTGGGAGAGTACCTTCGACCTTTTTGGGAGGCTCCCCCCCCCTCCCGCCCAATGTCGAAACGCTGAATAAGAAAACGCTCACACGCCTCGGCGCGCCATGTGGGCGCGGCGGCGGACTTCGCGCTCCCCCGCTGGGCATCATCTTCCCAACGCGTAGCTTGCCCCGGAGATCCGGCGCTCCAATCTGCCTCCCCCAGACATCCGGCGCTCCAATTTGCTCGCTTTCCTCCTCCTCCTCGCCTTCCTCCTCCTCTTCCTCCTCCTCCTCCTCCTCCTCCTCCTCCTCCTCCTCCTCCTCCTCCTCCTCCACCTCGCCATCCTCCTTTTTCGCCTCCGAGCGCCAGCTCGGCCCTGACCAAGGGCCCCCAAGCCCACGCCACTGGCGCCCCTTGCGCCGCCCCACTTTTCTCTCCTCTCCCGCCGCGGCCGCCCTCGGATACCCCCCACCCGTGCGGGATGTACCTCGCCTCGGCCCAGGCGGCCCAACCGGTCGGCGGCGGAACGCCGCGCGCAGCAGGCGCGGGTGCACGGTCGCGCCGCCCTCCGCCTCCTGGCCGCTTTCGAGGAGGTGCGCGGCCATCGTGGGCAGTCGCTCACCCTGCTGGGCGGGCCGCTGCGCGACGCCCTGGCCGCTGCGCGATGCTGGCGAACGTGGTCCTGGTGGAGGAGACGGGCAGCTTCGGTCATGCGGCATGCCCGACGCCGCGGCCGACCTCGACGCTGCGATCCTGGAGGCACCCAATGCCCTCAACGAAGCGGCCGAGCTCGAGGCCGAGCGGGAGCCGCTCTGCCCCGCAGCCGATGAGAACGGTGTGGCGGAGACCGAGGCCGAGCCCGAGGCGCTCAAAACCCAGGCCGTGGCCGCGGCGGCCGAGGCGGCCTCGCTCGCGCGCGCGGCGGCCTCCGACGCCCAGGGCGCGGCCGCCCCTGACGCCGCGGGAGCTCACGACGCCCGAGGCCGAGGCACGGGAGCAGCGGGCGGAGACCTGGCGGTGGATGCGCGGAAAGGCCCCGCGGGCCAGCCCGCTCCCGCCCGCGCGGCCGAAACCGCCGCAGGACCCCCAGCGGATGGCGAGAGCAAGGGTGATGCGCGAACATCGCGCCCTTGCGGCCGCCATGGACGAGCTTCGCGCCGCCGAGGCTGCCCTGTCAGCTGCGGGGCTTCCAGCTCCTCGTGGGCCTCCTGGGCAGCGAGCTGGGGGCTGCAAGGGTGACGTCAGTACCCACTCCCCGACCCGTCGGGAGGGCTGCGGCGGGCCTGGCATATACTTCCACAAGGCCGCCCGCCAGGTCCGTGGTCTTCAACCCGTTCGGCCTGGTGCTCCTCTTCGGCCTTGGGGCGGGGCGGCCTTGCCACGTCGACAGGCGGGTTGGGCGCGGGCCCCCGCAACGCCGCGCATTTTGCGCGCCGCGTCGCACGCGTGGGCGGCTGAAGGCGGCGGCTGCGGGGTGTAGCCTCGAACCGTTGCCTTTCGGCGTTCTCTACTCCACTCCATTCTTTTGTCGCCTCCAAGCCAACGGAGGTCTGGACAACTCCCTCAGGGCCGTTGTCTCATCGGGCGATGTTTTCGTGACGGCCCCAGGGCTGCCAGGACCCAGGGCCCCTGGAGACCGGAGTAGGCCCAAAATTGGCTGCTCCATTTTGCATCGGAGATTCGGACCTCGCGGCCCCAGCGGCTGCGTCGCGCACGTTGCACGGAACCACTGTTTGGGGTCCAGTCGTGGGCACCGTGTGAAGCAGCGCCGTCCTGCTCGCCTTCGGCTGGTCTTTCCGTGCTCTCCTTGTGACGCTCCTGCAGGCCGCGGCGCTGCAGGCCGCTAAGGCGCAGTACAAGGCGCTCGCTTCCGAGCTCGAGGCCACGCTGGCCTCGCAGACGCAGGTCGAGCAGCGGAAGGAGAGGTCGCTGGAGGCGGTGCAGCCCCCCCCCCCCCTTCCCTACTGCAGACCCACGCTGCCCCCAGCTTCAGAACAGGAATAGATGCCAACGCCGCTCCTCGTCCTGGAGAGTCCGCGTCCACCACGAATGGATCCCCCCAGAGATCCGGATCAGAACGTAAGGGGTCGCGGTATCAGTAAAGATGTACCTTCCATATCCCCCTGTCTCCCCTTCTCACTTCTATTGCAGATACCAGTTTCAGTTCCCTTCACACCTCCAGCATCGTCCTTCCTGCAACAATTACCCCTCCCACATCGCGCCTTTCCTTCACAGACATAAGAATTATGTTTGACGCTTTTGAAGCCCCTGGCACGAGAGTCTTCCGAGTTCGCCTTCGACCTTGCATTTTCCCATCAGAACGTTCCCGGGCGGTCAAACATGCGATTCCCGCTTCAGCGGTGACCGCATTTCAGGATCGGCGTGCTGCTCCCGTTGTTCAGAACGGCGCTCTCACCCCAGCGTTGGTCACATTTCTGGAGATGTCTCGTTCTTCGTCGTTGCCGCCCACGTCCCATTTTCCCTCCTCCGCCTCCCCCCTGAGTTCGTGCTTCTGCTGCTGTTGCGTTCCTTTTCCTTGTGCACGTCCTCCACTCCCACCGTCCTCTTCAATGTGCACAGCTCCTGTCTCGACTTGCACATCACACGACGGGGTCACTCTCTTCAGTCCAGATCCTCTAGCATACCCGTCGGCGGATAGAGAAAAGCAGCGCAATGGGAAGGAACATGTGGGGGGAGAGGGTGTCAGATATGGCGCTGCCGCACTTGTTTTATTTGAAAACGGTTTACACCCCCCCCCGGGAGGAGGAGGAGGAGGAGGAGGAGGAGGAGGAGGAGGAAGAGGAGGAGGACAACTAATTGGAACATGAGGAGGATCAGCCCGCAGAGGGGGCGTGGTCGTGGCAGCAAGAGGCATGGCGAGAAGGAGGATGAGGAGGAAGAAGGGCAGGGGCAGGGCAGCACGAGGAGGAAGGGAGGAAGGCCACGATACCAGCACAACTTCTCGGAGCTTCCTCCGAGCTTTTCCTCTTGTATCGCTGTTGGAGGGCCCTGGAGGCCGAAAGTAGCGAAGAGCGTCGGCGACGCGAGGGGGCCCGGGTCCTGCGGGGCTCCTCCCAGGTGGCCCCTCGGGTAGCCGACCGCCCCGCGAGCGCGCTGCTCTGCCGAACCTCAGCGAGGTGGAGAGCAAGATGCAGCAGGCGCTTGGCGTGGTGCAGGCGGAGATAGACGCGCTGGCGCCCCTGCGGGGAGGCCACTCGGAGCTGCTGGAGCAGATCAAGCTGTACGGGTCCATGGAGGAAAGCGCCCGCCGCTCCGCCCCCGGAGGAGGGAGAGTCGTCGATGCCGACACCTTTGCCTCGTGCTCGCCTGTTTGGGGCCTCCTCGGAAACCCTCGTCGCCACGGCTGGATTCGCCCCGACATCCTGGTCAGACTGCACCTAGGAGAGGTTCGGGGAGTAGCGGTATCGGTATCTTGTGGTTTCCCGATGTGGAGACCGATCTTCTCCACGCCGACGTCGCCGATGCCTCGCAGCTGCATCGCCAACGTCGCCGATGCATCGGCGATGCATCAGTGATGCATCGACGATGCGGCGCAATCCTCCGACCCGGTGCACTCCGACCTCTCCCGGGAGGCTTAGACTCGCAGGCTCTTTTTCTTCCCCAACCCCCGAATTATCGATGAAAAATAAAGCCGCTCAGAAAAGGAGGGACATCCTGGGATACACCCCGAAGGGGCTAGTCGGGCGCACCCTATCGAGGATGAACGCCCCCCCATCGTATATCCCGAAAACACCACGAAGCCTAGGATAGAGGTCAACACATCCCCTCTTATAGACTTCTTGGTGCACCGTTCGGCGCAACGAACCGCGGCAGCGCGCCCTCTTGTCGGAGCAGCGGCCGGTGCGGGCTACTGCCAGCTGGGGTTGGGGCGCGGTCCTCCGCGCACCGTGTCGTCGCGATTTTTCGGTGCCGTCTTGGGCTCGCGTCTCTTCCCAGGCGACGGCCGCAGGCAGGCCACGGGGGGGGGGTCGTGCCCGAGGCAGGCCCGTTTGGTCACCGGCAGGCAAAGCGTTTGGGGAAATGCCTTCGCCCTTGGTTCCTTCCTTCGTTTCCTCCGCCTCATTTCTCTCTTTCTCTCTCTCTGACTCTCTCTCTCTCTTTGTTGTTTTTTCTTCCTCTCACTCCCTCTCTCTCGAATTCTGAATTATTGATGCTAGCAGCCTCTCCCAAGGAAACAAACAATTCAAAAGGGAGAGGAGACATCAGGGGTCGACCCAAGGGGCACTGCCCCCCCAACCCAAGATTGACACGGCAATCCCTCGCACAATGGGGTCCGCAGGCAGACCCGTTCCTTCCTGCTCCTGGGGAGTAGAAATTCCACGCCAACAGTTCATTAACTAACACGCGCGCTACACGTAACCAGGCACGAGGGGAAAACAACGTCAAGCAAGGTCGGCCTGTCTTTAAACCTTCACCTTGGAGCAAATGTCCCCCGGTGTCACCCCCAAACCCTATCATATCCTGGGTTCGCTCAGCAACTGTTGGGCAAGCAGCGCTGAGCGTGGCCTACGGACGGGGAGATAGCCCGCAAACCTGCGAATCGGGAAAAGCGCCGAAATACGCGGAGGGAACCATTCTCAGCCATGCAAATTCAGGCTAAGTCCGCGGGGACGGGATTCCTTCAACACGCTGGGGGTGAGTGATGGGACTTCGAATCTGCATCACAGCACATACGTACAGGATGCGAGCCGCAAAATTATCCAAACATGCGTGGCCTCTTGGACCTCGTGAGAATCTCTTTCCGTGACGCACAGGGTGCCCCAAGGATCAGCGCGGCGGCGGAGCGGTCTTTTCGTTTTTTGCCCAGCCATCGCCCGAAACTAGCTGGGCTTCCAAGAGCTAGGGAAAGGGGCGAAAAACAATCCAGACACTCAGCCTTCAACCGCGCTTCTGACTAGCTATTCCGTTCTCGCATGCTCAATGGCAGACTGGCTGGTCACTCGGGGTATCCTCCTTCCTTGAAGCAAATGCCCAAGTGAAGTTGCATATGCTGAGCACCTTGAAATCCCCATTTGGGCACAAACGCATGCTTGAACGCCATCAACTGTCTAGGGGGAGGCCCCCCTGCGCCAGGATGAGAAGCCAACTGCTCCTGTGTGTCATGAGCAGAGTGCTCGATTTCCGCGGTCGCTGCAGTGATTTTCTCGATATGAAAAGGCCCTGAGGCACGCGCAAAAAAAAGGATGCTCGGCCCCCCCCGTCGGGAATCCGTCTGTCTTCAGCAAATATTTGCGCGATACTCGCGCCGCCATTCAAAAACTCCTCTGAAGGCGGGGGCCCAGGTTCGCTCGAGGTTTGAAGTGAGGTCGAGAGTCCTGAGGGGCGGGGCCCATCCGCGACGAAGAGTTCGGGCCAGTGACCCGAGGCGGGCAATTCGAGCGACGACTTCAGCAGGGGCTTTGCCAGCCCTGCAGAGAGCGGCGTCGCGGGAATGGCTTTCCGTCTCGGCGCTTGTCCCGAATAAGCGCTGCCCTGTATCCGTCGCCTGCGCGGAGAGAACCCTATTGCACCGTCGCCGGGTCAAGTGTTACCATGCGCCGAAGTTGCAATGCAACGAACAAGCTTAGAGGCAGCGTAGCTTTCGGTGCACGTGATTTGGGGCGCCAGCCCCGCGGTCTCAGTCGGGGGGGCAGTGGCCCTGGCGGGCGCGAGCTCACGTCGCGCCCTGGAAATTCGAGGAGCATCGTCGTGCGTAGACCACGTAGCAATCGTGCTCGGTCCGAGCTTCTGCATTCGCGAACAACCTTGGTGGTGGGCCCACGCGCGCCGGCAACGATCCCTCCCCCCTAGACCGAACGTCAGTTGTTAGGCCAGTCTAGCGCTTTTGCCGGCAAGGCGGGCCGTCAGCCGCTTCGGCGGCATTCAGTTGCAAGCCCTGAGTGGTGGCGCGTTTCGACGCGGCGTCGCGCGGCGCGTCGGCGATCTGGGGAACGCGGGGCGCATCGGCAGAACCTTTAATTGACGCGTGGTCGCCAGCTGAAGCCGACGAAGCAGCTGGCGCGGCGGGCTCCTCGGGAAAAGGGGGCCGGGGCGGGCGGGCGGGGGGCGGCGGGGCGGGGGGCGCGAAGGGGGCGAAGGCAGGAGGCGCGGGGGGGGGGGTCATGCCGCGGCTCTTCGACTCCGCCAGGAGCCCGGGGCGGTCGGCGCAATTGCCGCGTCACCATCGTCGCGCGCTCATGCAGCCCCTAGTTTGGTTTCGATGGACGGGGCAACATGTGGTTCGGCCCCGTTTGCTCTGCCATCGCGGGCAAATGCGCGGGCCGCCGAACGCGGCCACTCCTCTGAGAGAAGGCGCTCCGCGAGCAGCAAGTCAGTCATCTGGAAGGCCTCTGGAATAGAGGGCTCAGCAACCGCCGCCCAAAACTGCCCCCGGCGAAGCCTGAGGGCACGTTGCCTCGCAAAAGAGCAGAAGGCAGCAGCCGCATGCAAGAGCACGACGCTTCCCGACGCGGCTCCTGATTTTTTACGTCGCAGCACGGCAGTGGAAATCCGCGCGCGCGCGCTCGACTAGCCGGGGGCGCTCGGCATGCGAGCGCCCGGCCGCGCGAAAAAAAATCGCGAGCTGGGCGGGGCCGCCGCGGAGCAGGGGAGAGGAGCGGGGGCCCCCGCCGCGGAAAGAACCCAGGATGAGCGCGCCGGCGCTGCCGGTCGGGGGCGAAGAGGCCAGTCAGCCGGCGCGGGGCGGCATCGCGAGCGCGTCCAGGGGCCGAAGCCAGCGTCGCAGGCGCCGCCAGCGCGGCGGGCAACGCGCGCCAGTGCGTCAGGGAGAACGGCGCGAAGAGTGCCCGCGGCAGCTGGAACGGAAGCATTCGAACGTTCACCACGACGCCGAGAACGTCAGATTTGCCGCAGCGGAACAGAGCCAGCAAGGAGTAGGAACGCGGCCCACGCGGCCGCGCGAGGAGCACGCGAGGGGCTCTGCCAACGAACGCGGGGCGCAACGAAATGCTGCCCGAGAAACCCCCCTGGTGCTGAGCTTCTGAGTCAGTCGAGGGCCGGGGCGCCAGCTGGGCGCGCCTGGCGACGGGGGCGCAGGAGGGGGGGGGGGGGCGCCGGGCGCGGCCGGCGCGCGCGCCGCCGCCAGGAGGAACGGATGGCGCCCGACCACGGGCCCGGCCGGGCGGCGGCGAGCCCGGCCGCAAGAGCCGCTGGGCGGCGGCGGCTTAGACAGGGCCAGGCGGTGCCCATCCGCCGCGCTGGCCTTTGGGGGGGCCGCGCGCAGAGCAGGGCCGCCAGCGCGGGGGGGCGGAAGCGCGGCCAGCGCGCCGCGGGAGGGGCGGGGCGGGGAGGGGGAGCGTGAGCGCGCCACCTTGGAGGGCTCCTCCTCCTCCTCCTCCTCCTCCTCCTCCTCCTCCTCCTCCTCCTCATCCCCCACCCCCCCCCCCCCACCCCCCCCCCCCCCATCCTCCTCCTCCGCCTCCTTCTCCTCCTCCTCCCCCCAGCCGCTTCTCCCGCTCAGGCAGGATTATAATGGGCCACCGCTGCAGGCGCGGTTTCCGCGTTTTGCTTAAGCCGGCGCTGGCGATCCCCCTTGCAGAATGACCTGCGCGATCACCTGGAGACGACGGTCGCGGGCGCCAAGGTGGCGCTCGCGGGGCCCCCCCGGCGAAGACGCTTGACCCCTGGCCGCGCTTTTACGACCCTCGCTTGATTGGGGCGGCGACTCCGGGTCAGAAAACTTGATTTTTCGATTGTGGTTAGAATGCAGTGCGGGTTGGTGCGTAGCCAAGATCAATGGTAGAATTGTCGCGCAACTACCCAACTATATGTTAGCGCGTTTGGCTGCATTGTGCACAACTACAAATGCGATTGCTCACGCTACCTTGGCCACGTAATCATCATAAATTGAAAGTTGTCATTTGCAGAGAGAAGAACGCATGTAAGTTGCAAGTAACTTGTAAGCAACTTGCACTTGGGTGAGTTCAATCAGTTTTGGGCCCCCTTGACCGCGATCGCATTAGATCTGCATGCAGAAGGCGATATCGCCCATCACCCCCGCCCCCCCCACCCCACCCCACCGCGCTCCGCGCCCCCCCCCCCGCCCCGCCCCCCGGCGCCCCGCTGTCTTCGCAGCTGCTGAGGCCCCCGCTAGCAGGCAGAAAAGGGACGGGGATTGGGGGGGGAGAGCGAGTCAATCGCCGCTCGCGGCGATGGGTTGATGAGCGACTCGACCGCTGCTCGCGGCGATTGGTTGATGAGCGATTCGATCGCCCATCTGGCAGATGTCGTTTTTCGCTCAG